AGTCTCAACATGCTCTCAGTGGTGGAGACGCTGAAAACCTGCCTCCCAAGTAGCCATGCAGCAGGTTCTAGCCGGGCAGACATTAATAATCTAGTCTGGGTGAGAGTTTAATACAGGGCCAGCATGTCTGGCCCACTGCCTATGTTTATAAATAAAGTTTTATTGGAACACAGCCATGTTCATTTGTTTGGGTATCATGCTGCGAAGGCAGAGTCGAGCAGTGAGGAAAAAGACTTTCTGGTCCTCAGAGTGAAATGGCCCTTCACAGGAAAATTTGCTGACCGCATCCTCATGGAGCAGTAGATAATTTGCTTGGTCCTGGTCTTCACTGAAGAGAGATAGTGGAGTTAAGGATATGAAGTCTGGTTTATGACACTTTTGGTCTTGGTTACTTCCTACTCATCGTTTTCATAGGTAGAATAGGAGTCATACCCACAGTGAGTGCAGGTCTGGACTGTGCTTAGCACGGTGTCTGAGGGCTTGCCAAGGGCACTGTGAAAGGTCTGCTATTTCCCGACTGGCATGGCTCAGTGGTGGAGAGGTAACCTGTGAACCAGAAGATCATGGTTCGATTCCCAGTCAGGGCACATGCCTACGTTGTGGGCTCTATCCCCAGTGCAGGAGGCAGCTGATCAATGTTTCTCTCTCAACATTGATGTTTCTATCTATCTCTCCCTTCTCTCTGAAATCAATCTATGATATCCATAATAATAAAAGCATAATATGCTAATTAGCCCGGACAGCCAAACAATCTTCCGGACGTCATTTCGGACATCCTTCTGAATGAAGCTGTGGTGGTGGGGGCCGAGGCAGAGGTGGTTAGGGGAGATCAGGCAGGCAGGCAGAATGGTTAAGGGCAATCAGGCAGAGGCAGTTAGAGGTGATGAGGCAGGCAGGCAAGTGGTTAGGGATGATGAGGCAGGCAGGCTAGTGATTAGGGGCAATGAGGCAGGCAGGCAGAGTAGTTAGGGGTGCTGAGGCAGGCAGGTGAGTAGTTAGGGGTGATGAGGCAGGCATGCAGAGTGGTTAGGGGTGATCAGGCAGGCTGGCAAGCAAGCAGTTAGGAGTCAGCGGTCCTGGATTGCGAGAGGGATATTCAAAATTGGCAGTCAGACATCCCAAGGGGTCCCGGATTGTGTGAGGGTACAGGTGGGCTGAGGGACCCCTCCCCCGTGCATGAATTTCATGCACCGGGCCTCTAGTAAAACTATATTTAAAATGAAAAAAAAAAAAAAAAAGGTTTGCTATTATTAGCTACTGAACTTCAACTGTTGGAAGGCAGAGAGAAACTTCCAGAAAAGGGTCACTGCTGCCCGCAGCTCTCACTACCGAATACCCTGCAGTGGTCCCGTAGAAAGCCGAAAAGCAGGACGTGAACGCCCAAGGCCCGCTCTCCCTGCAACATACCCAGAAAACAGGTGACCCCCTTTTCCGGAGAACAGCAGGTCCGAACAGGAAAAGAAAGGGGAGCAAAGGTCAAGGCCCTGGGGTCTAGTACCCATAAGTGCCTGGTGCAGAGGAGGTCCCCAGTATTGGTTGCCTGAATGAACTAAGGCTGGTGGTTTAGCCACAGAAGCGACTTATCAAAGAGCACTGCTGGCTCCTGTGATGAGGAGACCACAGTTAGAAGATAAAAAGTTCTGCCTCCGATATCTGAGGGTCTTAGGATGAAAGCGATATGCTGAAGCCGAGAGGACGATCAAGGCCAGGAGGCTGCTGGGACCTCCCGCTGTGGGACAGGACAGGGTGATGGAGTCCTGGGGAACAGGTAGGCCAAGGAAAAAAAAAAACGCTTAAAAACAAAAGCAGGCACGTAAGGTCATGCATTGGCCCAAAATAACTTGGGACACTGAGCAGACGGATGCAAGCAAGCGGCACATCTTGATGGAAAAGAGGCCAACCAAGCTGATAAGCTGAAATAGTTTCCCCTCCCCGGCGACCTGACTCCTGCTTCGGAGGCCTCGGCGGGAGCAGAGGAGCCCATCAACATGGGGGTTTGGGTTTCCTCTCATCCTTAGGGCGCTGCTTTTCTTTCCTGAGACCCCCACATCTTACCGGGAGTGCACGTTGGAATGCGATCTGGAAGCTGTTTTTCTGTAGACGCTTCAGGCCCGGTTTCCACAGCAGCAGCTGCGGGCGCTGCCAAATCTCCAGAGAAGGGCACCTTATCTGCAAAGTCACGAATCCAGGCATCCAAACGGGCTGCCATTGGCGCGGGTGGGAGGAAGCTGTTTGTCTTAGCTCCTTGGCGGATCAGGAGACTGGGAGGGTTTAGGGACAGCGGGTCCCTTGCTGGACCGAGATAGAACCCCGGGGAAAGGTTTCTGGTAGCTTCTCGGACCGGCTGTGGAGCAGAGTAGAGGGCATTTTGGTAGCAACTAACAAACTCAAACCAGCTGAAGCAAAAAGGGAAGGAAAGCCAGTTCCTGATGGTCCTGACTCCTCAGATTTGCTTGCCCTTTGATTCTCTAACTTTCCTCCTTTCCTTTCTTTTTTTCCTTTCAAAATATTGTGTTTTCTTGCCAAAGCTGGTTTGGCTCAGAGGATAGAGCGTCGGCCTGCGGACTGAAAGGTCCCAGGTTCGATTCCGGTCAAGGGCATGTGCCTTGGTTGTGGGCACACCCTCAGTTGGGGGTGTGCAGGAGGCAGCTGATTGATGATTCTCTCTCATCCATGTTTCTAACTCACTATCCCTCTGTCTTTCTCCCTGTGAAAAAACAATAAAATATATAAAAAAAAAATAAAAATATTGTTTCTTAAAAAAAAGATTTAAATTGATTTTTTTTTGAGAGAGAAAGAGAAAGAGAGAATCATCAATGTGAGAGCAACACACCTATCAGCTCCCTCCCGCATGCCTCCTACCAGAGATCCAGCCTGAAACCTGAGCATGTGCCCTGACCAGGAATTGAACCATTAACCTTTCGGTGCAGGGGAGGACGCCCAACCAACTGTGCCACACCGGCCAGGGATCCTCATTTATAAACTCCCTTTCTGCCTAAGTTAGCCACAGAGGTTTCTGTTGTTTGCAATCAAAGAATTTTGAGTGATACAAAGGGTCCTAGGGGAACTCTGGAGCAGGCATTGGCACTGGCTTTCTGAAGAAGAAAGATTAGGAACCAGAAAGTGGTCAGGAATCAAGGCAACTTTCTCCATCAGTATCAGTTGGACTGCAGTCAGTTTCCAATGACAGAATGCTGGACGTGGGTAGATTGTAAAAATCCAGAGCCCCTCCCCAACGAACTCTGGCCACGTGACTTGCTTGTCTGATGGGATATGAGCATACACAAGGCAGGTAAGTGTTTATGCTTTGGGGCTTGATCTCTCCTGCTGCTCTTGGGAGCCTGTGCCCACCACACACGAAAGAGTCTGGTATAACCCAGCAGGTGTGGCTCAGTGTTTGAACGTCGACCTGTGAACCAGGAGGTCATGGGTTTGATTCCCGGTCAAGGCACATGTCCAGGTTGCATGCAGTGAGGGGCATGCAGGAGGCAACTGATTGATAATTCTCTCTCATCATTGATGTTTCTATCTCTCTTTCTCCCTTCCTTTCTGAATTCAGTAAAAATATAATTAAAAAAGAAAAAAAGAAAAAAGAGAAAGAAAGAAAGAGCCTGGTCTAGCCAGCTGCATCATGGGAGACCACCCCAAGCAGAGACAGACTGTCCCAGATGTAACCTCTCTAGACGGTGGTTTCTCATTCTCGCTACTGCTAATTTTGGGTCAAATCTGTCCTTGCTGTGGGGAACACTGTGCACTGTAGGATGTTTGGCATTCCCTCCCCAATTGTAAGAACAAAAATTGTGTCCAGAAATTGCCAGATGTCTGCTAGGGGGCAAAATCACCCCAGATGGAGGTGATTTAACCATTGACCTAACCCAACTTGCCTGCCGGTGATGAGGAATGTAAACTAGTGCCAGCCAAGCCAGCTCAGCTCAGGACAAGTGCCCACCTTGGCTCATGGAATCGTGTGAGATAATGGCTTTATTTTCACTCACTACGTTTTGAGTGGTTTGTCCCACAAGTACGCCGACTACAGTGGCTTAAACAGGAAGAAATTTATTGTCTTTCACAACAGAAAGTACAGAGGTAGGCAGTTCAGGCAGGGTGCAGAGCACAGGGATGTGGCCCCAGGTCCTTCTCATCTTTCCATTCCGTTGTCCTTGGGGGCTGGCGTTAGCCTCTTGCTTGCTGCCTCGTGATCCCCAAATGGCTGCTCCAGTTCCAAGCCTGAGCTCCAGGAGACAAGGCAAAGGGAAAAAAGACAAAAAGCTTTCTCCAAGCAAAGTTGTGCCTTTTATTGCCAAAGAGAAACCCTCTCCAGGGGCTTTCACTTTGCCATGTCATTGGTCAGAAGTGAACCACATGGCCAACTCTAGCTGCAAGGGAGGCTGGGAAATCAAGGGGACCAGCCTTCAGCTTATGCAGCAGAGGGAGGCGATAACTAAGGGACTGGTAGTATCTGCTGCATTGTCTCTCTGGGGTCTTGGTTTCTTGTCTCTATGATTGCATATCTACCCCAGCCTTCTCTCTCTGAAGGCTGGCTTTGTTCCTCCAGACACAAGGTAGGAAATGGCCATCCCAGCCCTGGAACTGCATCAGATGCTCAGCTCCAGGACCACTAATGACTTGTATTGGCACTGGCTTTCTGAAGAAGAAAGATTAGGACATTCTTTCTTGTCCTAAGATTAGTGGACATTCCAGAGTCCACTTCCAAACACTAAAAACAGAGGTGCTGATTGGCCCAGCTTGAATTCGAATAGAAACCTGATTGGTCTGGCTTGGCCAACCAGCTGTGGCCAAGAGAGCAGCATTAGGCAGGGCAAGCCTTTTTGGGGGCAGGGCGGGTTGTAGATTCTCAGGAAAAGGAGCCTGTGGCTGAGGAGACATCTAACCAGCTACCTAGGTTTTTTGGTGGGGAGGGAGGGAGAAAAGAAATTGCCATCATGAGTTGTAATGTTCATAGGATAAAAATGAACACACACTTGGAAAGACCTAAAATATATGGAATCATATAGGCATTACATTTAACTTAGGCAAATTCAAATGTTCAACCAACAAGCATTTTCCCCCCCAATACAATTTGGGTCCCAAACATGAGCCAGATGCTTGGACTACTGCCTACCCAAGTGGTCTCTTCAGATGCTGGAGGAAAACGTGTTGACTTGGAATTCTGGGATATGGTAAAGCTCCAGAAATTTCAAGAGACTTGTTAAGATCAGGTAATACCTATCTCACTGACTTTAGAACCTAATCCTGGGATAGGTGGACCTTTGGTGGAATATCATGCCTAGAAAATCCACAATTTCTCTCTAGTTTTAATCAGTATAAAGAATGCATTTGGTTTTGAAATATCAAATTATTTTTATTATGGCTTTTGAAAAATAAAAAAATAAACAATATATGTATTTTCATAACTTCTGGCCCTTACTCCCATTTTGTTTGGCGGTCCTGGCCATACAAAAGAGCTGGTAAGAGGCTGGCTTCCTGGAGAGGGGGTAGAACGTGGGAGAAGCAGAGCAAGAAAAATGGAGGTCTCTCCACACACCATGAAAAAGGGATGTTGTCCACTTGGCCAGTGTCTGCTCTCTGGTGACTGGGAACTTGGTCTGTCCTGAATTACGGGGCCACCTTGGTGTAGCAGAATGGGTAGAATGAGATGGAACTAGAAACCCAGGTTCCAGACCCAACTCTTAAATTTACTAGCTGTGTGACTTTAGACAGGACACAACCTCTCTGGGCCTCAGCTTCCTCAGCTGTCCAATGGGGGACATAACACTACAGTATTTACCTCCCAGGGCTTGGGGAGGGTTAGATGAGAAGTGGTTTGAAAACTGCAGAGTGCCTTATCAATGTTAGTCACTATTATGGAGCGACAAAACTGACTGGCATTCTAAATTTATTATAATAAACTCACCACAGCCCCGAGGTTACCATTCTAGCCTACGGCCCTGGTATCAGTCTTGAGTTTTCTTAATTGTGAGTTTCTTGGAGCTCCTTGATGATGTGACATTTAGGTGCATCACGACTCACATGTGGAACCATATAACTGTATCTACTAGACCCCTATGTCTGGGTTTCAAACTTATATTCTTCACATACCTATGTATGTATACATTATTAAGTATTTTTAATAAAGAATGCCTCACCTCACACACTCCAAAATACAGCATTGTGCAGAAAAAAAAAAAAGAAAAAAAAAAGAAAGGAAACAAAAAGAAAGAGAAAAACAGAACAAAATATAGCATTGTGCAAAATACCAGTCTCGGAAGCCACACACGAGGGGAACACGCTTTAACGTCCTACAAAAGCATCTTAGTATTTGGACCCAGAAGAGCCACACCGACTCACAGAGGATCTTGCAAGGCCGGCTGCTGGCATTTCTAGCTCCTTCCGCCAGGCTTGGAGATCTGCAGGCCCCGGCTGAGTTTGCTGGAGGACTCTCTCTTCAGCGTCTCTCTTCCTTGGTCTGTCTTTGGGGCGGCTTTTCTGACTCTGGCCTTCAACCAGCAAGAGAAATAAATGTGCTAAATCTATAAGTGCAGCGAGATCCCCAAATGTTCCACCTAAATATGTTGTTTTTTTTTTACTCAAAATAAATCTTCCCTTAAATAAACAAACAGTATATTTACACATGGATGTGAGCAAAGGAAGTGAAAATGACCCGCCATTGTCGCTCCGCCCATGGTGAGCATCCGAAGGCTTTGTGGTGTCCGCCCTTCCAGGTGTACAGGTGACATTCTCCCTTTTAACACTCGTGTTTCTCAAACCAGGAGCTTCTTCGGGTTAGCACATTCACTGTGAGGGACCGTCTTTCTCTGAAAAGCTTTCATCCAACTGCGTTTAGCCTTCTCTGAGCGCTGCCTGACTCCCGGAAGCCATGCTGTGGGCCTGGCCCTGGTCAGAGCTGACCGGACACTTGGCACAGGCTGGACCTTTAAGGGACCACTCCCAGGATTTGGGGTTAATGGGCTCTGAGAGGTTACGCTCCCTTTGAACTGGGAGACCTTGAGGTCATCCCTTCCTATCACATGATTGGAGATAGCTCAATAGAGACATGGAAAGACAATGCAGAGATGTGTGTGTGTGTGTGTGTGTAAGAGACAGGAGGCCAGTCTCCCTTTCAGCTCTTTGTTTTTATAACATTTTAAAAAATTGATTTCAGACTGGAAGGGAGAGAGAAATACAATAGAAACATCAATGATGAAAGAGAATCATTGATTGGCTGCCTCCTGCATGCACCCCAATGGGGATGGAGCCTGCAACCCGAGCACGTACTCATGACCAGAACTGAACCCCAGACCCTTCAGTCCACAGGCTGACACTCTCTCCACTGAGCTAAACCAGCTAGGACTCAGCTCTTCCATGTTTGAGATACTCACTCTGGTATCCGTATAAAAGCCCTTTTTCTCTGCCTGCATAGGTTTGTATTCATTGCAGCCCAAGATTCTCTCTCTGTGCTCTGCACCTCCTGCAGGAAGATTGCAACCTACAAGCTTTACAACTGGTTTCACATTCCCAGCCCTCCTTCCTGCAGGCTTGACTCTGCAGTGAGGACACAACAGCCCGGGGGCTGTGGGTGGGTGAATTCCAGCTGTGGCCCTCGGTTTCCTCATCTGTCAATCAGGGACCAGAATACCTGCCCTGTCTCCCTCGGCGGCCGAGAGGGGTTCTGGGGAGATCTCAATGGAAGGGGCCGCTGGACCCCCCCTTGAGCTCTTTCCCCTTTCAGACAGGGGTGAGCATCCCTCCCAGAGGCCTGCGCGGTGGCTGGCAGGGCCTGGGTGTGCTGTGCAACCGCGATCAATAGCATCGCCGAGTGAGAAGCGCTAACGTCTCTGCCCACAGAGGGTGCCTTGGCCTGAGTGCTGGGAAGATGAGAACAGACAGCAACTGTTGAGAACTTTCCTCTGGAAACCACCTTTCCTTTGCTTCCTCTTTTATTTGATTTTCAATAAAAGTGCTGGCGGGCGGTTCCCTGGTGCCAATGCCCTGACCCGGCGTGGGGCTGGCTGTCGGGATTAGAGCCGGGGAGCTGGTTAAAAGTCAAGCATCCCCAGTCCAGGGTCCCCTGCCCCGAGGTCTGCTGGGAGTTTGGGGGTTTGGTCCGCTTTTCTGAGTGACAAGGGGGGAGGGAGGGTCGGGCAGCAGAAGGCAGCCAGAATGGGCGCCTGGGAAGAGGCAGAGATAGGGGATGAGAAATCCGAAGATGCAGACGAGGGCAGGAAGGGCAGGGGAGACTGGCAGGGTCTTCCCTGGACCTGGAAGCACGGGGCTCACCCATAGAATGAAAAGGTGTGGACAGAAACCAGTCAGTGAAATGGCGACACCCAGGGGGACATGCTTTTCATCACGTTAGGTATTTGTCCCAGTCGCTCCCACACCCGTGAAATGTTGACATTACAGATGGCGCTGCCTGCACACCTGTGCTTTACACATTCTCTGAAAGGAATTCTGCCCTCTTGAAGTATGCCCACCGAGAATTCATGATTGACACCCAGCACCTGGACAGTGCCAGCCCCACCCAAGGCTCTGAGGGAAACGCTGTTGAATGAATGGGGGCTGGGAGTATCCCTTTGTTTACTTTCCCATCCCCAGGCCCGCACAGCCCGTGGCCTAGACTGGGCATTCAGTCCTTGTTTGTCAGGGAGAAGAGTGTCCTCATTAGCATACAACTGGCAAAAGATTATAAAAGACTGCTAGCCGGATGAATAGCAAACCAAACCCATGAATGGCATTTTGGAGGCCAGAACACAACCCCTCCCCCCAGGACCTGAGAGGAGGAGCTGCCAGGTCTGAGGTTGGCTAGAGGCGGAGACGCCTGTGTGAGCCTACACGCCCTTCTCAAGGTGCTCTCGCTGGCCCCATGCCCAGGACTCCAGCGCTCTGTGGAGGAAGGACGCCCCAGCCACACTTCGTAAAGAGCCTGGAGGAAACCATTCTGTGCCGAGGAGCCTCTGAGTGAGGCCTGGAGGCTGGGAGCTCAGTCTGCTCTCAGCTGAGGCACCGCCATCCACCGCATCACCTGCTCACGTCCAACCAATCACCTGCTCACACCCACCCACTGCATCACCTACTCACCCCCCATCGCCTGCTCACATCCCCCGCGTCACCTGCTCACGTCTAATCAATCACCTACTCACACCCACCCCATCTCCTGCTCACACCCACTGCATCACCTATTCACACCCCCATCGCCTACTCACACCCATCACATCTCCTATTCACACCCCATCGCCTGTTCACACCCACCGCATCACCTGCTCACATCTAACCAATCACCTACTCACACTCACCCTATCTCCTATTCACACCCACCGTATCGCCTGCTCACACCACCTGCACCACCCACCTACCTTCTGCCAAGACCAGAGGCGGCCTGGAATTCCAGGCGGCTTCCCATCTCAGGGAAGCACGTGTCTCCTCCGTCATCTCACATTCCCAGTTGGTCCTCAGACCAAACCTGGCTGTAGGGCAGTGTCTGCCTGCTCCTGGGCTCGACCATATGTGCGATGAGTAAGTGACGAGGCTCCCACTCGTTCCCACTTCGCAGGTGGTGAAGGGCTCGGATCTAGGGAGGCCCTGGATGCACTTTGCCCTCCTAACATCCTTGGTCTAAGCCTAGAGGAAGTCCTCTCCCTCTAGGCTTAGACCAAGGGTGTTGGCTGGGAAGAGACTTCTATTTCCCAAAAATGCCCCTCGCCTAGGATTATCTATTTTTTCCCCATGATAATGTGGTTGTCTCAGGATGACTGTGGCCTTTTATCAAACTCAAATATATCTCCTCTCTGCTACCCCATGATCATGTGTTTGCTTGTGAGCTTCCTGAGAGCTTGCTTCTAATCTCTGCAAAGCAGAGTGTGGGCTGGGTCAGTTCCAGTTCCTGGGCTGAACTGGGAGCGGCAATGTTCCAGCAGGTTTAGGATTTTAGAGTCTCGATTCCCAGCTCTTCTAGGATGCTTCCTTGAAATTCAAGAGAAATGCCAGCCGGAACGTTATTACCCGGACGTTTATTTTCTCGAGGAAGGCAAGCAGTGCTCGCCCGGGTGTGGGCCCTGCGCTGAGTTCCAGCTCTCCCGGTGAGCTGTGTGGCTCTGGACAAGTGACTCAGAGTCTCTGAGCCGTAGCCACCTCATCTGATAACGGGATAGTAGCGATACCCGCTGCACTGGGTGGTTGTGAAGCTCAAACGTGATGACGCTCAGCTCTGCGCCTGGCAGGTACCAAACGCTCAAATACCTAACAGACGTGGGGCCACTGACAGCTGGGCTTCCTGCTGACCTCCCACTGTGTCCTCTCTCCTGCTTCTGGCTCACCTGCAGACCGGCGTTCTGCATCTTGTTCTTCACCGTCTCTACAAACACCCGCCTCTTTAATGCAGAAAGAACAGGGACAGTGTTTAGCCTACGCTCTTCTTTGACTTTTGCATCAGAAAAAAAACACACAAATGGATTTTTCTCACCCTTCAGATGCTACCCACCCGGATGGAATGCTGGGCTTTCGAGGGGACGGGGGCGGGGGACAGTGTAGGCCTGCAGAAGGGGACTTGGCTTTGGGGTGGGCGGTGCCACCCTGTCCTGCTGAGCCCCTTAGGGGTCTCCGGTCCACATTCCAGGGACACCTGAGAGGGGAGGAGCCTATCTGTGCTCCTCTTGGAGGAAAACGGCTTGAGCTGGAAGCAGGACCTCCAGGCCCGCGGGTGAGACTGTAGACGTGGTTCTACGGTGGGTTCCCCCAGGAATCCCAGGCCCCAAGCGCGCTGACAGCCACAGCAGCTACCCTCCGCGGGGACAGCCAGTCCGGAGCTTCCCCTGGGGTGTGGTGACTGACCCTGGCCTCCTCCAGACCCCACATCTCAGGGGCAGTTCACTGAAGAGCCAGCAGCCCCTGGGGGAGCGAGCTGGGGCCCCCTCACAGACTGACCCTCGGAGGTGAGTCTGCAGAGGCCTGGGGAAGGGCTGTTCTCAGAGAGCCCTGAGGGCCACCCACTGGCGCCCCCAGGGGCCAGGGAAGTAACAGGAGTGAAGCGAGCGGGTGGGGTGCAGCACCCACAAGACCAGCATCTTTCTAAGGGGCCTGGGAGGTGGCAGCTGTGGACCGTGGGCCTAGCGTCAGCACATCTCCCGCGGTTCCCAGAGAAGCCAGGAATCCAGAGTATTCTGTTGAAGGGCCGTTTTGAAATGTTACTTAAAAGAAAAAAAAAATCCCGTAAGTCAAACGAGAACATCTGCGGGCTGCCATCTCGCGGTATCCGCCTCGGAGCCTGCCCCTGCGCCGGCCTGGTGCTCAGCGAACCCCTCCGGGCAGTGCCAGGGGACACACGGGATGTCCAGCTCAGTCTGAACTTCAGAATGAAACCAAGGAATGTTTCAGTGGATGTAGATCCGTGCACCATGTGAGACATGCTTACATGAATCACCGTGTGGTGTTGAGCTGAAATTCAGGTTTAACTGGGCGTTCTGTTTTGTTTTGCCCCCTTTTACTTCTGGCAACCCCACTGGGCATTCGCAAAACTCACAGAGGAAGGAAGCCAGCCTTTGGGACGGGCACGGCTGCTGTTCGTCACAGAAGGTGCTAGCTCAGGGGTCGGCAAACTGCGGCTTGAGAGCCACATGCGGCCCCTTGGCCCCTTGAGTGTGGCTCTTCCACAAAATACCATGTGCGGGCGCGCATGTACAGTGTGATCGAAACTTCATGGCAGAAGTCGGTTTTCGGCTCTCAAAAGAAATTTCAATTGTTGTACTGCTGATGCTTGGCTCTGTTGACTAATGAGTTTGCTGACCACTGTGCTAGCTCGCCTCAGGGGCCCATCTCTGCCGGCTTAGGCCCGTGCTTAGCCAGCTGTTGCCCTCCAGGCCTTTTCTGTGGGGAAGGCCTTGAGCCTGCAGTGACTCAGTAATTATCACAAACTCGGAGGAGAGGAGCTAAGCTCAGAAGATGGTCACATCCAAATTCCCAGACGTTATAAAGCAGTGCTTTTAACCCAACATCTTTCCTTCCTTCCTTCCTTTCTTCTTTTTTAGTTGTTGTTGTAGGAGAACCCTTTACCCAAGCAAAATCCCTGGAAGAATGTGGCATATAAAGCAGATAATGGAGAGCTTCTCTTATGGAAGTGAGGGGGGTGTGTGTGTGTATTGAGTCATTCTCTTCCGCGGCACCCATGGGCTCCAGGGAACCCCAGTTTGAACATTGCTCCAAAATCTCTTTCTGGATTAGGTCCTGTCCGTGGACAGCTGAGCGCCGAAGGGCAGAGCCCGGCCGCTGCACGCCCGCTTCCTGGCCTCACTGGGCTGTGGGATGACATCATTCTGCCTCCAAAGCTATTCTCAGACGCGGCCCAGCCAACCTCGCTTGCAGTGCTGTTCTTAGGGATGCTGTTCGTTACGTCACACAGTGTCCCCCCGAGAGGAGACCCTGCATCGCCTTGGTTCCGAGAACCCTTCTGAGTGTCACATCCTTCTGGTGTCATGGACACCGTGGGCTCTGGACCATGCTGGCACCGGGGAGCCCGCACAGAGTCAAACCAGGCCCCCTGTGGTGGGCGGAGGTGGCTACAACGGGCACTCACATCCTCATTCCTGGCTCCATGTTGCCTTTCTTTTACCCACTTGTTTCCTTCCTGGAGCAGGGCTCCTGGGGCTCCCCACTCCTCTCTTCTTCTCTTATATCCTGGTCTCCAAGTCCCTACATCACGGAGAGCTTAGGACGGCTGCCCCATCAGCCAAAACGACATTTGAACTTCCCCTCCGCTCTCTCTCGCCTCCAGACACTGGGTTAGAGGCTGGCCTCTTAGGTCATTTGTTCAGATTGCAGGCAGGGGAGGCGCAGAGGAGGGCCAACGGGGGAGGGGGCAGGAGCTGGCTGGGAAAACGGGGGGGGGGGGGGAGGGACGCGTGTGTGGCTGTTCCCCAGGCAGCACTCCATGGCACTGACCTGCATAAGCTCCCTCTCTGTGACAGTACCACATGGGCTGTGTGTCTGGGGCGAGGTCAGAAACCCTCTCCATACCTGCCTCTCTTTCTCTTTGAAGGCGCAGTTGCAAGATGTTGATTCTTTCAAATTTCTCAGTTCGTAATCCTCTGAACGTTCCTGAGGGAAAACAGCAGTGAGCAAGACAGGGTGTAGTGCATCCTGACCTGTCCCATTCTGGGACACACCTCTGAGTTCTGGGAGACCTGAGGATTCAAGATGGTGGGCCAAAGATGGGGGAGGGGGGGATGGGGGAGAGGGTGTTCTATCCCTATCCTGGGCCATCCTAACCTCATTTTTACTTTTTCATCCTCGTGTGGGCCAGAGGGTACCACCTCCAACCGCCTGCCCCATTCCATTCACATCCTACACAGCATCTACCAATTTCTACTCCGTGGTCAAAAACACACAAGTGGCACGGAGGGAACCAGGATCTGGAGGACACCTGGGCCCAAGAAAATCCGGGAAAACAGTGAGTTAAAAGAATGCCGATGACAACGATGACGGTGGTATAGGAGCATCTGTTGAGTGGTCCCACGTGCAAAGGGGTTTGTATGCACGTTCTCATGGAATTAAATGCTATGTGGTCGGTGCCATCTTTATTCTCATCTTAAAGATGAGTGTTCTAAAAAGAGAGAGAGAGAGAGAGAGAGAGAGAGAGAGAGAGAGAGAGAGAGAGAGAGAGAGAGAGAGAGAGAGAGAGAGAGAGAGAGAGAGAGAGAGAGAGAGAGAGAGAGAGAGAGATGAGGGATCTGAGCTAACTAAGCAGAGGAGAGGTGGTTCCTGAGACCACCTGGCAAAGCTGTGGCCACGCCCCCTGGCCGGGGTTCTATTGGCTGGAAATTTGATTGGCAGGAGAGCGGGGGCTGCTTCCCCAGCCAGAGGCAGCCAGTGCCCTTCAGCCTCTCTCACGCTGGGGGTCCTGAGGGAGCGCTGAGAGAGGACTGAGGGAGGGCTGGCATGCTTCTCAGAGGGCAGCTTCTGTGCGTTTACACGTTTCCTATGGGAAGTCCCAGACTGAACCCCTTCACTGAAAGAGTCTGGGCCTTTTCTGGGCCGGAGCCCTCGCTGTATTCGCCAAGCAGAAAGAGGTGGCAGAGGAGCCGCGGGCTATGGGAGGCCAGGGACCGGCCAGTGGCTCTGGGTCTGCTGCGTGTGTGTGGGAACCCTGCTTCTGCGTCGGGTAGCCGGGCAACACGACCCTCCGTCAGCGCCAGTGTCCCCTCTCTCAGATGGGCTGGCTGATGGACAGAGGAAAGCACGTCTCGTGTGGGGCAGGTGCCCGCTGTGTGGTAAGCGCTCGACAAACAGTGCCAACAGCGCTGCCATGCTTTTGGCTCTGGTTCGTGCAGGTCTCCCCCTAAGTTGTGAATTCCGTACATCTGAATGTTCCCGGCTCTAGCTCTTCCGGGGGTCCCCTCCCATCACAGGTTCGACTTGGCCATCCCAGACCCTCTCCACGGACGGATGTCCAGTGCCTGCATTGTGCACGAAGAGGCAGCTCATGAATAATGCATGTGAAGCTTGATTATGTAAATCCCTGGGTTTTCTTATATTTTTAGCCAGCGCACGACAATGGCCTTTTTGGGGCCCTTTGCTGTCCCATTCTGTGGGCTGGAGCTTTGGGACGGAGCCTGCCAAGCCCGGGGGAGGGGCACCTCAGAGGGCTAGCTCTCCAGAGGGCACATCAAAGGCAGAGCCGGAGCTCTGCCAGGCCCGGCTCTCCCTGGCATTGCTGGTGTGAAAGGAAACTGTGCTCCGCCTGAGGCAGCCCCGTGACACCGCAGACAGTGGCTGCGATGTTTAATTAACTCAGGGAGGCGAACATCAGACGCCACATCAGTGCTCCCTCAAAGCCGCTCTCGTTTCCGGGGCTGCAGCAGGGAGCCTACGGGCTGGAAGGTTTGCAGGATGGAGGACACGTTCTTCAAGGACATCAATCCATCCCCATCCACCTGTCCATCCATCATCCATCCACCTGTCCATCCATCATCCATCCACCTGTCCATCCATCCCCACCCACCTGTCCAGTCCATCCATCATCCATCCACCTGTCCATCCATCATCCATCCACCTGTCCATTCATCCCCACCCACCTGTCCAGTCCATCCATCATCCATCCACCTGTCCATCCATCATCCATCCACCTGGCCATCCACCCCCACCCACCTGTCTATCCATCCCCATCCACTTGTTCACACATCATCCATCCACCAAATACTTATTGGGTGTCTCCTATGCTCTGGGCAATCAGAATAGTGAAACCAAATCTCTATTCTCAGAGAGTTTAATCATCTATTTGTCCTCAGGACATGGCAGAACAAAGAAAATGCCAATAACAGCCACTATAGTAAAACACACACCACAGATGCGCTTGAGGGGAGTTAAGAAACCAGCCTGAGATCGCACAGTGAGTGGTAGATCGCAGGTCTGCACCTCGGTCTGTCTGCCGCTAACGCTATCCTGCTGCCCTCCTCTGTCGGGGGGAGGGGCAGCCTTGGCTCCCGGCTCCCGGCACCCGGCACCCGGGCCTCTCACCTGCTGCTGCCGCCGGGCCCTGTTGACCCTCTTCTCCTGGCGCAGCTGCAGCTCCGTGCGCTCCAGCGCCTCCTTCAGCAGTGCCTTCTCCTCGGCCCCCTTGTAGACGTCGTCCTCCAGCTTGGCCACCTGTGACTGGTACATCTGAATGGACACTGTGCTCTCCCTGAGGCAGAGGAGAGACAAAGCCTCTTTTCCCCGCGTCCTTCTCAGCCCCCGTCCACGCCCCGACCCGGGGGGGGGGGGGATTCCAAATACTCCCCCACACCGCCATCCCATGTGCTCATCACACGCAGGAGAGAAGGACACAGCTTTGGGGGAGCAGAGAGCGGAATAAATAGCCAATCGGCTGCATCAGTGAAGCGTGAGGGGGCAGAGGGTGTGTGAGCACCCCCCCCCCCCAATTTCCCCTGCGGCCCCCGAGGCTGTGATGGAGCTGGGGCAGGTCCACAAATGCTGGAAATTGGGACTCATTGCCAGCAGGGGCAGCTCGCTCACTGAGAGAGAGCCGAGAGTGGAGAACCCTGCCCACTCCGGTGGCCGCTGTGCCACAGGGAGACTTGCCACTTCCAGGCTGAGGTCATCGCCCCGCCCTGCAGAGCCCCCCGGATTTTAGCTGTTCCACAGCCCAGGTCGGGGTCCTGCCCCGAGGCTGAGCCGGGGGCACGGAGGCCCGGCCTCTGGGGGACGCGGTACCTGAGCTGGTCGATGTCCTGCTCGTATCCCCTCAGCAGCTCCTCCTTCCTCTCCAGCCGGCCCTTGAGCTGCGTGATCTTGTCGAACACCAGGTCCAGGTCCCTCTGCCGCAGCTGGTTGACCCGCTCCCGCTCTCGGGGGGAGAGGTGCTTCATGGACACCTGGCCTGCCATGTCCTTGATGTTCATCAGGCTGCCCAGCGTCCTGCTCATGTCCATGTACTGCGGGGAGGGCGGCCGCGGTGAGCGGCCCGGCCGGGAGGGCTGCTGGCCGCGCCTAACGCTCACCCCCTCGCTGCTGGCAATCGCGGGGGGCAAACGCACGTTTGGGAAATGAGTGCAATTAGGGCGATTAGCACAGTTTTCATTTTCTCCGCATGCGTTTACACTCTGCCTTGGGGAGAACCGAGGGGAAGTGACAACAGTTACAAACATCCCTCCTTACTCCGCGGGCTGGCTGTGCCCGCCTGGCCCACGCTGGGGTGGTGGGCGGGTCCTGCGGAGCCATGGTAACCGCCAGCTGTGCACGCAGGGCTGGGGCTGACACTACCTCGGTTTACACGGACTGCAGGGGCCCCGGGTTCCGACAGGAGGCTGGCTTGCTGTACGTACCAGCTTCTCACTGAGATCCAAGGCCTCGGCCACGTCCATTCTCCCCGGCTTCTCGGGGGCCAGGCTGGCAAAGCCATTTTGAGACTGGAATAAAAAGAGAGTTAAAAACTCTTGGCGTTCCACGATGGATGTCTGCATCCAGGAGGTGAAGCGCTGTGTAGTTGCCAAGAACAGCTCAGCTTTTGATTTCAGTCCCTGACCTTCTAGTCCGACTCCTTTGCCAAGTGCTTTCTGGCAACCATGTCCCCACCCTTCAGAGCGCAGCTCCCTTTGAAACGATACGTCGCTTGTCTTGTTCTTTGGTCACTGTCTTCCATCTAGACCGGCGGTTCTCAATCTGGGGTGATCCTGGCCACCCTGGTCCCCCTCCCCCAGACATTTAGCCATGTCTGGGCACATGGTTGGTTGTTGAACCTGGGGATGGTGGATGCTACTGGCATCAGTGGGTGAGAGGGCAGGGATGCTGCTATACATCCCACAGCACATAGGGCGGCCCACGACAAAGAGTCGCCAGGCTGGTGTGGCTCAGTGGTTGAGCATCGACCTATGAACCAGGAGGTCAATAGTTCAGCTCCCGGTCAGGGCCCATGCCTGGGTTGCAGGCTCGGTCCCCAGTAGGGGGCGTGCAGGAGGCAGGCAACCAATGATTCTCTCTCATCACTGATGTTTCTGTCTCTCTCTCCCTCTCCCTTCCTCCTGAAATCAATGAAAAATATTTAAAAAGAAAGAAGAAGAATCAGCTGGCCCCAGATATCGGCAGCACTGATGTGAGAAACCCTGATCCTGAAGACAAGCCCCCAGGAAGCGGGAACGGTGCTGCTTTCGCTCCCTCTCCCGTTTCCTGTGCTGCCGTGGCCCCCGGCAGAGTGACACTCCGTGGGCGTGTTGTCGAACGAATGAATGAAGGTTAAATGAGAACAGCTCTCCTCCTTTTATTAAAGGAATCTGACTTTTGTGCAGCGGAAGCTACACCCTCACAGAATGTGACCCAGCCTTTCCCAGTGCGAGGCCTGGTGGGCGAGCGTCCCTTCGGACCCTTCCCGGGGCTGTGCGGGATGGAGCTCAGAGCTGCGCACGCACTGAGACCTGGTCGGCAGCTGGCTGCTGGAGGCCCCACCCACTGCGTGGGAAAGCCACCAGGCCGATCAGGGAAGGACCACAGAGGGCCTATACGTTTCCTTCAGAAACGCAACTGGGTGTTCTGTGCTTAGCCCAGGCCTTTGTTGGCACTACACTGCAAGCCTGAGATTAACACCCCCCCACCCCCACCCCTGCCCCGCCAAAATCGGTTTGGCTCAGTGGATAGAGCATTGGCCTGCGGACTGAAAGGTCCCAGGTTTGATTCCAGTCAAGGGCATGTACCTTGGTTGCAGGCATAGCCCCAGTGAGGGGTGTGAAAGAGGCAGCTGATCGATGTTTCTAGCTTTCTATCCCTCTCTCTTCCTCTCTGTAAAACCTCAATTAAAAAAAAAAATACACCCCCCCCCAAAAAAAAAATATAAAAGCACAGAGGCCGCAAAAGTGACTGTGACAGAGAAGAATAGAGACATTTATTTATATATTTATTGGAGGAGAATAACAGGGTGTTTGAAGATGACATTAAGCGGGGCAGGCCTGCTGCAAACAGAACCTGAAATGCCGCTCAGTGTCCTCCCCTCCCCTGAGCTGTGGCCTCGGCACCCCCTACAGACCCCCTCCCCCCTTCTCCTGGAAGAGCCCGGGCTCCAGGGTGCAGGCACACAGGCCCCGCCCCTTTCTCTGCAGTCCAGAGGGGTGCCAGAGGCGGACTGCCAGGGACACGGCCCTGGCTGCATCATCCATCACTCTGTGACCTTGGGTGAGGTACTTGACCCCCAGAAGCCTGGAGGTTCTTATCTTGTAAGCCAGGGATGACAACAGTTACCAGACACAGGCGGCTGTGAGGATTCAATGAGGTAACGTGTGTAGAGAGAGGGCTTAGCTCAGTGCCTGGCACCAGTCAGCACATAACAGATGTCAGCTGTCCTTCCCCTGCTGCTTCTCGGCCTCTGACTCTGATTCCCGCCAACCTTGCAGGACCAAGGTCCTCTAGGAGAGGTGGGAGGTTGCGTGCTCTGTGGTGTCAGGGGTGGGATCAGGGGTCATTGCCAAGGGGAAGGGAAATCTTGGAAGCAGGGCCAGGCTGAGCTCCCCACCTCGGAGAAAGAACGTTTGATCTTACCAAGAAAACCAACAGGGTTTTGAAGACTCGCATCTCTCGCAAATGTCTAGAAAAACTGTTGGGGAGAATGGTTGTACAGATAGGATGACTATTATTCCTGCTCAAAGCCTGAGTATGGCTTAGACCCAACTGCGGCAGCAAGCCCTGCCCAGTGGCTCCTGCGATTGACACTGACCTGAACTGCCCATCGTTATGTGTCAATCAAATACCCACTTAGGGTACAGGGCACTTTCAACTTAACAACAGAATTACTTCTGAAAATCCTGTCAAATAAAACTTTGGCCCCTAAGAAAGGAAGGCTTTCTTGAATAATACTGTTGAACTACTGTTGAATAATAATAAAGCTATCATTTGTTAAGTGTTCACTGTGAGCTAAGTGGTGGGGTAAGCACTTTACATAATCACCTCCTTTCATTTGTTTCCTCATCACTTTACAGCTGGGCCATGGAGGCCCAGAAAGGCTTATGGCCTCCCCTAAGGTCACACAACCAGGATTCAGACCAGGGTTCCGGCACAGGTCTCTCTCACTCCAGAATGGCGTCCTCTTAATCATGGCTCCCTCTGCTACCCTTCACGTGTTCATGTTTCTCAGTTTACAGCAAAAAGCAAATTTCAGGCAGACTCACGGCATAATGCCAGAGATGAGCCTGTTGAATGTTTTCTGCGGAATATACGATGTTTTCTGCAGAATGCGATGTGAAAAGTGGGGTCCCCCAGAGGCTGACCAGGCCCCGTGTCAATGCACAGAAGCACCAGGCAAGGCACACCCGGAGGCGGCCTTTCCATTCTCAGACGGGGCTGCTGTGATGGGAGGCACTGACCAGTCGGTACGGACAATGGCCCATCGGGAAGGGCCTGGCCCCCAGCCCCCAATACGCACCGCCGTGCTAGGGCGCACAGCTGGTGTCTGCCCTCATGCCCGCCCTCTCCACGTGTCTGTCAGTCATGCAGAGACAAACTCAATTTGGTTACCGCTTGGATCTCCGTTCTTGAGAGAGCTGGCCAATCGGGCTTTGCGTCCAACGTTTTCTGGATGTGCTTTTCCATCCTGAGAGTCTTTAAGTCTTGAAATGATTTATTCTGGTGGACCTTATCATCTAGAAAAGAATTTGATTTGAAGGAAAGGCTCAGCGATTGCATGCCATAAGCACCACTACTCTTTCCGGGTCTTGTCCAAGGTCACACAGCCAATGGGAGGCCACCTCACGGGAACAGGATGGAACTTGAACCCAGCCTTCTGGGTCCTTGCCCAGGGCTCCGCCCAGCAGCCAGCTCAGCACCCGGAGAGCCCTGTCCCCTCTGGGCAGGAATTCTAGGAGGTTCCCCAAGGTCGATCCTTGTATAGTGTTGGTCCATGCGAAAGTTCCCACCAGGCCACAGTGAAAAGAGAAAAAGTAGGACAATGTATGGGTTTTTCATGAAACCCTACTTATTTAATAGCAAGTTCTGCCCTTGACTCTGAGATCATGTCTGCTCATTTTTTTTTTTATTGTATTAGAACATCCTATAAATATTATAATGAACATAACATTTCATTGGTTTTGAAATGACAAGGATAAGGAGACCGTGGTCCAGGCGAATGGGTCAGTTCCCAAAGTGAACTCACCTGGAGATGGTTCCTCCACTCCCAACCTCCAAGAATGATCTTACTAGGAAAGTCTGCCCTCCCCACCCACCCACCGCCCCTCTAGTCCCCCACCGGCTCCACGTCTGAGAGGCAGCCGAGGGAGGGGGACACTTACTGGAGGAGCCTGCCTTCTCGAGTTCTTTGATTCGCGCCCGCAGTTCGGATAAGGCCTTCTTCTGACGCTGGATGACCTCCTCGTGCCGGGACCCTTTGCACTTGGCCCCGAGGTCACAGAAGGACTGCTCCTGCGGTGGAGGGACGGGCGGCGGCTTTACCAGGGGTGAGCGCCTCTCTCACACGTGGAGAAACGTGGACAACGCACACGCAGCGGAAACCTGGCTGCCGAGGGCTTTGGAAAGTATCACAAAGGGGGCTTCCACCGAGAAGGAACTTAAATCTTTCCCTTTAAATATAAATTCCCAGCTAGGAAGATGTCCAGCTTTCCCCTCTGCTTAGCGCAGCTGTAAACAAAAGACACCCCCCCGCCCCCCCAGGTGACCTCCCCGCGTCTTGTTTATGTTTTTTCTAAGCGTGGGTTTCCATATGCTGTCATTCTGGGCCCAGCTCTGAACGGCACTTCTCACTGTGCTCTGGAGGGACGTGTGTGGATGAGAACACGGATGCTCGCTTCTTCTCTGGCGGTAAGGATGGTGAGCTAAGACTTGCCGGGGGCGGGGGGTTTGGTAAACGGGCTCTCGGCAGGTCTGGAGAGAGGAAACGCCTCCTCGGAGCCCCCGGAGCCCCTAGCCCAGCGGAACTTCTGCAATGGGGGGGCCTTCGGACTGCACCGCAGGCCCGGCAGCCGCCAGCCGCCCAGCTGGAGCCGGGCTCACAGGGGGCACAGGCAAGGGCACTTCCTTATCGTGTGGGGTCCGTGCACCCCTTTGAGATTCGGCAAAGCATAGGGTGCCTTTCTCCAGAAAAATCCACGTACACACAATGAGGTGCCTACAACCTCTGGGGGTTCAGGGATCCCCCTGAAGACCAGTCATGTTACGTGTTGTTAAGCAATTCACCTCTGCGTGCCGAGACTTATTCTAGGCACTGGGGACTCAGCAGTGAGTAAAACTGGCAGAACCCCTGCTGTCCTGGATTCTGTATCCCAGCGTGGGAGACAGACAATAAGGAAAGATGGAAGATACAGGGGGGCGGTGGTAGGTGTTAGAGTGGAAGTGGGATGGGATGTTAGCAATGGCTTTTAGGTGTAGGCAGAGCTGGCAAGAAAGGGAAGGAACGAACAATTTTGGTTCTGTTATTTATTATTTTAGATATGTTTTTATTGATTTCAAAGAGGAAGAGAGGAGAAAGAGATAGAAACATCTATGATGAGAGAGAATTATTGATCGGCTGCCTCCTGCACGCCTCCCACTGGGGATGGAGCCTGCAACTGGGGCATGCGCCCTGACTGGGGAATCGAACCATGGCCTCCTGGTTCACAGGTGACCTCCTAGTTCAACCACTGAGCCACACCGGCCGGGCTGCACCAGGCTTGTTCGTGTGTGGTGGGCGCAGGCTCCCAAGGCCAGCAGGAGAGATCAAGCCCCAAAGCATCAACACGTATCTGCCTTGTGCTTGCTCATATCCCATCAGACAAGCAAGTCACGTGGCCGGGGTCCGTCTGGGAGGGGCTCCGGGTTTTTACAATCTACCCACGTCCAGCGTTCTGCCGTTGGGAACAATGCAGCAGGGCAGCGAGGCTCCGGGCAGCCTCTACTCGCGCCTGGGCCCGGCGTGACCCCAGCTCCCCGCCCCCTGGGAACGTGTTTATTTCGAGGAGACGCAGATTCTTTCTCATACAACTCTGCAGCCCTCTGACCCGCTCTGGCTTAGAAAGCAGGAAGCGGCCGGAGGGCGGAAACCGTTCTGAGAAGGAACAAATACTTTTCCCCTTTCATCTGGCTCTGCCAATCCCGTCCCGTAAGGGAAACTAATAACAATCCATCCCGACACACACAGATCCCCAGTGGGCAGAAACCCCGTGGGTCCTCCTCTTCCCCCAGCACAGGGCCTGGCACACAGCAGGCGCTCAATAGTTGTTGAGAGAGTGAATGGACATGGGTCAGGCCTTGCACTAAGAGCCTGGGGTTCCAGCAGGAGGGAGACCTGCTCTCTGCCCCTCGGAGCTCAGCCCACGGACCCGCTGCAGTCCCAGCTCGAGGCCACCCTGAGCGGCGAGGAGATGCTGTCCAAGGGCCCGGGCAGCGGTCAGTGCCAAGGCCAGCTGCTGGGCCACTGAGCCCTTCCGTGAGAGCTGTGTGCGGCCTGGCTCGCTGCTGCTTGGCAGGAGAGAGGCATCTGTGAGGAAGCAGGAAGGCAGGCTGACACATTTGGCCTCGTTTCCAAGTGAGAATTCAAAGCCCCGTGACTGAGGCGCCCTGCTCTCTAGTTTCATAGAGCAAACCCGGGGACTCACATCCGGGGCCTCCAGGAAATTGGGGCCTGCAGGGAGCACCGGACCCACATCAGGTCTCCACGGGCAACGGGAGCATCAGGGCCCCAGCCCCGGGGCAGAACCTGAGTGCCACCTCCGAGGCCGGCGTGATTAAGGCTGTTCTCACACGTACTCCCTGCTGCTCTGAGGCTGGGACTTCAGGCCCAGAGAGGTCTCTGGGTGGGGGCCCGAGAGAAGGGTCAGGGGACAGCCGCAGAGCAGATGGTGCTGCTCTTTGGGAAGGCAGTGTGGCCCAATCGAGCGCAATTTCGGACGTCCTCTGGGCCCAGCAGTTTAGATAGTGTTTTTGTTGTTGTTGTTAATCCTCACCCGAGGATATTTTCCCACTGATTTTGAGAGAGAGTGGCAGACAGAGGGAAAGACAGAGAGAAACATCCATGTGAGAGAAACACACAGATTGGTTGCTTCTTGCATATGCCCCGACCAGGATTGGGGCCGGGGAGGAGCCTGCAACCAAGGTACCTGCCATGGACTGGAATCGAACCCGGGACCCTTTGGTCCGCAGGCCGACACTCTATCCACTGAGCCAGACTGGCTAGGCAGGACAATAATGTGGGAACACAGAAGCCACTCAAATCTCCATCCACAGGGGGCTGCTTGGACAAAAGGGACGCAGAGGATTCTATGCAGACATTTAAAAGCAGACATTAGATCTTACCTGAAGAGATGCCCGTTTAAATAATTGTGTGGGGAAAACCAATTTGTGGAATATATATGGCTTGATACCATTATTTCGCAAAAAATAAAAATAAATCTCTTAAATAAATACATGTACCGGGGAGGGGGTGAAAGAGGCGGTAAGTACACATAGGCAATAACTTAATCAATAAAGAAAATTAAAAAAATTAAAAAAGCAGCTAAGCTGAAACCAGTTTGGCCAGTGGATAGAGCGTTGGCCTGCGGACTGAAGGGTCCCAGGTTCGATTCCAGTCAAGGGCATATATACCTTGGTTTCGGGCACATCCCCAGTAGGGGGTGTGCAGGAGGCAGCTGGTCGATGTTTCTCTCTCATCGATGTTTCTCTCTATCCCTCTCCTTTCCTCTCTGTAAAAAAAAAATCAATAAAACATATATATATTTTTTAAAAAGCTAAAAAAATAAATGTATGTACAGGGTGGGACGCAAAGTACATTTACAGCTGTGAGTACATGAGACAGTTGATTCTTGTATCATGATTTATTAGCTAAAGGCCCAATGCACGAAATTTATACAAGGGGCTTGGCCCCTGAAGCTGCAGCGGCTGGCCTCGGCCTTCACAGCCGTGGCAGCCTGCCTCGGCCCTCGCAGCCCCGGCTTCGTCCGGTTGTCCGGAAGGATGTCCAGAAGGTCGTTCGGCTGTCTGGTCTAATTAGCATATTACGCTTTTATTACTATAGATCATTGTATTACTTTCCACATGAACAACTGTGAGTCTACTTTTGCCAACCCCTATCTGTATAGGTATGTGTGTGTGTTGAGTTTGTAAATAAAAGGTATTTCTCAACGACCCTACGAGGTGATTTGTGAGTGTTATTTCTCCCACTTTCCGGAAGAGGGGATTGGCTCAGTGACCTCCTGAGGTCACAGTTTCTGAGAAGAGGACCCCAGCAGACCAGACCCGAGCCGGGTCTCCACCCACTGCCCAGTCACGCTGTATAAGGAGGATGTGCCAACCTGCTGACAGCTGGCACCTCTGGGGACGGCATTGGAGGGGCAGGACTCCTGCTGGTTAACTGGCACCTGGCACAGAAGGATGCACTGTTTTGGGAACTCAGGATGAGAATGTTTTCCAGAGCCAAGAGAGCCGCCACGGGGCTCCCCCTCCCTCAGCCTGTCCTCCTGGGGGCAGGGACCGGGCGGGCACTCACCTCCTGGCTGCTCACGCAGGTGTCCGTGGGGATGGGCTCCATCTGCACGGGGATGCCGCACGTCTGGGCCGTGCTCCTGGGCCTCGGGGGCTTCTCCTTGGGCGGCGGGGGCCTGCGCTTCTCCTGGAAGGCCCTGGGCAGAGGCGACGTGTCACGGGGCTGCACAGGGTTCCGGGAGCCACGAGGTCCCCCCTCGCCTCTCCTCGCCCAGCCCCCACAGGACAAGAACAGGAGCTCCATGTTTACAGGTAACTGAGGTCCCCCAGCCTTCAGGTCTCCTGCCCACGGGTCACTGGAGAGTTTAGTCTCAGGGGACTTGCAGGAGAGTGGCCAGGGTGGTGGGCACCCAGCTGCCCTGGCTTCCCCCCTGGGTCTCCCGCAGAGAGATGCCACGGATGGGAGTGTTTGTTGTTTGTGCGCCATTTTCTGCTTTCTTACGGGTAAGCCCTTCCGGGTCTCATAGCAGCCCCAGGAGCTGGGGACTCTCCTGGCCCCACCGGCCGGGCAGGAACAGACACACAGCCATTTGCCCGCGGTCACGGAGCTTGTCAGTGGACATGCCTGGCTCTGAACCCAGTCAGCACGGGGCTGGAGCCCGCGCTTTGAACCGCTGTGTGACTCTGCTTTGGCCATGGGCCCCGAGGCATGAGGAGCTACGGGGTCTACACAAGACATCGGTTTTACTCACGCTTTCTTGGGGAAAACATTATGTCAAAATTTGGACAAGCTATGGATGAAAATGCAAAGCCACATGCACTTTTTAGATAAATCCATGGGACGGGGATATTGAATATTTCCTTGGAGCTGACCTCTGACACCTCCAGTCTATACATTTAATAATTTAAAATTTAAATCAATGTTCATTGATTTCCTTCAGGGAATGCTGGGAGGCAATGCCAGGCAAGGTCTGTCCTCAGGGGGAAGGCAGGCATTGAATGGGCAATTAAACAGCCTGACTGAGAAGTTGGGTTAGGTCAGTGGTCGGCAAACAGTGGCTCGAGAAACACATGCGGCTCTTGAGCTGCAGTTTACTGCTCTGTTGACTGATGGGCTTGCCAACCACTGGGTTAGGTGAAGTGCGGGGCTGAGGGCCCCAGGCAGAGCAGGAGCCCTGGTCCATATTTGGGGAGGGTGAGTGACAGAGTACTTCCTGGAGGAAGTGGCATTTAAGCTGAGACCTGTCCTCCGGAATATTGGGCAGGAATCTCTGAGAAGCACAGGACTTAGCAAAGGCCTGTTCTACCTGATAAGGCTGTGAAGCAATGATACAGGCCATTCATTCATTCTTCATCCATCCATCCATCCATCCATCCATCCCACTCCTCTCTCAGCACTTACTGACCCCCTCTCTGTGCAAGGTTCCTGGGGTGCTCAGGTGTACCCCGGGGCGCTCAGTGTGCCCTGGCTCTGCACGCCGTGCAGGCCTCCTCACACACCTGAGTGCCTCCTTGAGGGCCTCCAGCTCCCGGTCCTTCTTCTCCACCAGGCCGGTCACCTGGGCCATCTTCTCCTTGAGCGCCCCCAGCTCTTTGTTCTGCTGCTGGACCAGGGCCACGTTCCTCTCCAGTTCCACCTTCTGCTTCTTATTAAGCTCCCCTGGGAGCGACATGAAAGCTGGTGAGGGGGTGTCCCGCCTGGGGTCCCCACGAGGGCCACAGCAGGCTCCTCTCTCTGCCCGGGTTTGAGAGCCGCGAGGAGGGCCCGCCCTCCAGGAATTCTCCGGGGGCTTCAGCAACAGCCAGGAGGTCTGCTGGCGTCTGAGCAAACAACTCACGTGAGCGCTGGCTCTCTGAGGACCGTGTGCCCCTGCCTTAGGCTGTATAACCCGCAGGTGCTGTCTGACCCGCCCATGTCCCTATGGCCCTTTGGGGCACTCGGCCCACTTCCCGCTGCCCGCTTCTGCTGCTCTGTGTCTAAGGGTGTTCTCAGGCCTCTGGAATCTGCTCCTCATGTGTTTGCTCAGGTGCAACAGCCTCCAGCCAATGACAGGTGCAGGTGAGCACGCAGCCGCTCCCTCACCCTTAGCTGGGCACCCCAAAGCTCTGAGTACTTCACCCCGCTCTAGGTGGCCCCGATGGGCACATCAGCCCGAGAAGCAGGTGAATTGCAGGTGATTTCACATCTGAGGAGGGGGACCCTGGAAGGAATGACCTGGCCCTGGGTCCCAAAGCTGGTGAGTGTTAGGGCTTGTGCAGGTTGCTATGCCCCAGGAGGGAGCCTGGGGGCAAATTCTCAGCGGTGACAGGAAATTCTCCTAGAAAAGGGGAGCTGTGCCTCATTGCAGAGGTCCAGCGCCCTCTGAGGAGTGACATGTGGCCCCTTGGTAGGGAGTCAGGGCCACAGTCGGACAGGGCTTTTGCTGATCCCGCCACAAGTGCTGTGGCCGCCCGGGAAAGCAGACCGAGCAGGGCCTCAATGCCGTGCTTTCCGACTCGTCGGCCCCGATTCTTTCCTTCCTCAGAGTGGGCCGGGAAGTCAAGGGACCCAGGCAAGCATACGAACCTCTCAGATCTGACATCCGGGTATGGGCTTCCGTGAGGTTTTTCCTTAAGTTCATGATGACCTCCTGCTGAGACAGGATTTCCTTCTGAGCAGTCAACAAGTCCTCTCTGCAACTCACAGAAAACAGGCAGAGCCGGGTCAGCCCCGTCTCCCTGGTGTCTCAGGGGCCTGGGAGGGACCACGTACAGATGCCTAGTGACACCCCATCAGTAATGGTCCATGGGACACTGGTCCCAGCAACGGGGTAAGCAGCGGCTTTAAAAATTCTCAAAACAAAATTCATGTTAATGTACATCATTGAAGATAAACACATCGCATCCAACTGGTGTGGCTCAGTGGGTGAGCATTGACCTATGAACCAGGAGTTCAGGGTTCGATTCCAGTCAAGGGCACATGCTTGGGCTGTGGGCTCCATTCCCAGAGGGGGAATGTGCAGGAGGCAGCTGAACAGTGATTCTCTCTCATCATTGATGTTTCTGTCTCTCCCTCTTCCTCACTCTCTCTGAAATCAATAAAAATATATTTTTTAAAAAGAATTAAGAAACTCAAATAACAAGAAGACCCCGGACTCCACACCTTTTATCAGATTCTGGTAACGAGGCCGGAAGTGGGGGTACGGTGGGATTGCCGTTGCTGGCGTGCACGCCGGGGTAAGGCTGTGGCGCGGACTAGGCCCAGGATACTCACATCATGTGGTCACACACTGCGTCCTTGGTGCGGCTCTCCGCGGGGGTCCCCGGAGGGCAGTCTTGCTGTGCTCCCTGCTCCTGGGCTGAATCAGGGACATGCGGACATCGTTACAGTCCCGCAACCCGGGCCTTCTTTCCCCGAAGCAGAGTAACCCATCCACGCGCCTGCATCTCCCCCACTTATACACTCTCCCCCTACGGGACCACCACGAGTTCCGTGTCACAGGCTGAGGACTCTCCACCCTCCCTGAGCTCATGAAGTCCTCCCCGCTGCTCTCTAAGGCACAGGTCATTAACTCCATACAGACGAGGAAGTGGACACAGGAGTGACGGAACCTGTGCCCACTCAGCAAGCGCGTGAGGGGTAGAGTCCTAACCACTGGGTCACACCGCCCGCCCTACTTCCTCCTCTGCACTCAGACAAGAGTCCTGTCCTTACTACATTTTCTACTTACTCCCCAGCCCACTGCCTTCAGCTTCCGCCCTCACCACTCAGTCACATGCTCGCTCATTCATTCATTCGTTCATTCAACGTTCAGTGCCTTGTGGTCTAAGTGTGGGGTGACCAAGCTGTCACCCTTCAGGTCCCAGCTTCAGCATCCTCCCTCTGACCTGGACCTGGCCATGGTGCCCGGCTCACCATGGGTCACCTGTCAGGGCAGGATTTGGGTTAACTGCAGGGACCCTGCCTGCTTGCCCATCACTGAACCCTCGGTGCCCAGAATGAACTTGAGACATAACAGATGCTCCATGAAGCACGTTGAGTGAATGAATGCATGAGGTGAGCCCCGACAGCTCATTGGCAGGCTTGAGACCAGGACCATGATTCTCAACCAGGGTGAGTTTTTAGTTGTCGATCGATGTCTGCAGACATTTGTGGTTGTCACACTGGGGTGGGCGGTGGCACTGGCATCTGGCAGGTAGAGGCCAGGGATGCTGCTCAACACCCTACAGTGCCCAGGACGGCCCCCACCCCACAGAATTATCGGGCCCCAAATGTCAGTAGCGCTGAGGCTGACCCTGGCCTGGGGCCTTGGCTTCCAGAACTCTCCTCCGAGAAGTGAGGTGAATGCCCCTGACGTTTAGAGTAGCTAGAGGGCCTCTCCAGGCAGCTGGTGGCTGGGTCGTTTAGGGCAAACACACGCTCAGCACTCCGAGTGCCGTCTCAGCCTCTGGGGTTTGGCTTTTAGGAAACAGACCCTGACGGCTACGAAAGTGCATCAGACAAAGTCACGAACGACAACGGCAGAGGGAAGCCTTCAAAAGGCACCTGCCGGGGGAGTTCACGTAGAGAAGACGGTGCCTGCCACGCCGCTCCGACGGCCCTGGGAGCCGGCAGCCTGCGCTCCCCGCTGCCCGGCCGGGCACAGAGGCTGCCCGACTCCTCGCTGTCGCCTCGGTCCCCCCTGGGCCTCGAGGGCCCCCGACCGTGTTGTGTCACGAGAACGAAAGGGGGCGCCAGGGAGTGAGCGAGCTTCTCCACGAGCAGAAGCCCGTTCCTTACCCATCGGCCCCTGGGGACCCACAGGCCGACCGGAACCTGCCCGGCACGAAGGGTCCTCGGGTCTCCCGGGACCTACCCAGGTCGTTGTCCTTCAAGGCTGCGATCTCTTCCTCTATTTTCTTGTGATGCTCCGTCACTTTTTGGAGCTTCTTTTCGAGGCTCACGATGGTCAGGGAGTGCTGCTTGATCTGCTCCTTGTACTCGGCGACTTCTTCTTCGAAGCCCTGCTTCTGCGACTCCTGCTCCTCGTGCAGCGCCTTGATGGTCTGCTGCTGCAGCTGGATCCGCCCCTCCATCATGATCTGGGGGACGGGGATGTTAGTGCGGCGGTTGCTCTGACAGTAACGACGGTAACACGTCCCCTTGGCCTCCACAGCCACCGAGCGTGGTCCCGCCTCGGGGCCTTTGCACACGTGTGGTCCCCCTGCGTGCTGCGCTGCCTCCCTGGCTCCCTGCGTGGCTGCTTCCTTCCTGAGTTTCAGGCCGCCAATGCCACCTCCTCAGGGAGGCCCTCCCTGATTGCCCAGCCAGAGCAGCAACCCGAGGCACTTTCTGTTCCATCGTCCTGTTTCGTTGCCTCTGAGGCACTTAGCACCGTCCGAATGACCCCGTGTCTTTGCTTCTCACTCCCACCAGCACGTAAGCCCCATGGCAGCAGGTACTGATCTTTTTAAGTTTACCAACACGCCCAGCACCCTCAGTGCCCAGATCCCTGCCACAGCATGGGGCCCACATGCTCAGTAAAGATTCATTGAATTAATGAATGATTTTATAAGAAAAGAAGTGGATGGCCCGGCCCATGTGGCGCAGTGGTTGAGTGTTGACCTCTGAACCGGGAGGTCATGGTTTGATTTCTGGTCTGGGCACATGGCCTGACGGTAGGCTCAGTCCCTCCAGGCTCGATTTCCTCCCCATGGGCCGATGCTCTGCCTGAGAAACTCACATACATTTGGTGAAGTCTGAGGACAGTTTTGGTCCTACAGTCACAGGAGGGTCCCCTGGGGGAAGGCCTGTCGGACCCAGAGCCTCGGCAGCGGCATGGAGGCTGAGCACCAGCACAGGGCCCCCCCCCCCCCCCCCATTTCTGAGCCGCGTGCTCACAGCACTGTGGTTTGCGCCGAGCGGAGAAGTCTGCCTCTCACCATCTTTGTCTTGGCGGTTTCCAGCTCCGCCAGCGCCTCGTTCAGCTTCATGGCCAGGCTCTCCGCCTTCAGGCTCTCGGCCGCCTTTGTCCTCTGGCTCTCCTCCACCAGCGCCAGCGCGTCCTTTAGTTTGTTATTCAGAACGTCTTCCTTCTGCGCCTTCAGGTCCATTTCCTAGACAAGCAACAGACCCCCAATCACCAGAAACCCCCTCTGAGCGCCTCCCGCTCCCCCCGCCCCCGGCGCTCAGAGGGGGTGACCTCTGTCCTGGCACTGTTCCCTCGGTCCCTCTGAAGTCCAAGTCCATGGCTTCTCCGGGAGGTTCCGATCAGTACAGAGCTCCCTCTTATATTCAGCTGACTACCCAGGCTGACGTTTGAGAGCCTTTCTCAGGAGAAAATCATCCAGGACTGGCGTGAATAGACTTTAGTTCCACCTGGTCTTGAAAACCTTCTGAATTTGTATTTACCTGTATCTAAGTAACTTAAGTGTTATTTAAAGTTAAACCCCTATTGTCAGGCTGTGTGTTTATTGCTTGCTCTGACTATTGAGATGTTGGCTATTGTGTGTGTGTGTGTATGTGCAAGTGTGTGTGTGAGTGTGTTTGTGTGTGTGTGTGTGTGTGTGTGTGAATGTGTTTGTATGTGTGAGTGTGTGTTCCCCTTGTACCGTTGGGACCCAGGAACTGTGAATTACACCCCACAGCATGGAGGTGCCCAGGGCAGGGCCATGTGCCAACTTCTACCGCTACTGTGCCTGCGACTCCCCGTGACATACATGGGAGTTGGCATGAAGGCGATGATGACAATCAGGAGAAGTTCTGGTGGAGAAATGACATCACGGTGATGAGAAGGTCAGGCGTCCTGACCCCTCTCTGACCCCAGGCGGCAGAGCCACACAGCCTCTGGCGTCAGATGGTCCTGGTTTGGATCCCGCCCCTCTGCTTCCCAGCTGTGAGCTCTCAGTAATGATGATAATTATTATTAACTTCATTCGCAGGGTGCCAGGGTGTTCTGTGTGCTTTGTGTGCACGCTAACAACGAAGCCTCACAGCTCAAGGAGGCTGACCTTTGGGGATCGTCTGTGTTTCGTTGAGTGCGGAAACCAGTGCACAGAGACGGTGAGCAACTTGCCTAGTGTCCCACAGCCAGAGAGCGGCCGAGTGGGACCGCCCGCCTGCCTCCCGGCCTGCTCCGAACCACGCCTGCTCCTCCGCTCTCCTCGCCGGGCCGTACCTCTTTCTGCTTGCTCAGGCGGTTCTCCAGGTCTTGCACCCTTTTCTTTTCCTTCTCGATGGCCTCCCTCGCCTTCTGTCTCTCCTGGGCGATGCTGTTCTCTGATATCTGGAAGTCAAGGACAAGTGGTCTGAGGGCTTATGCACGAGGGAGAGAGGGAGATGGATTCGTAATTGTTGAAACCGGTGAGTCAGGGGTTGGGAGCGAGAGCTGCAGGGTCAGGCTGCCCACAGGGAGAGGTGAGAACCTGGCAGTCACGTCTTGGTCACGCGCGTCACAGGGAGAGCTCTCGTCACTCAGGAATCTGGGGCTGGCGTTCGGGAAGTGACATGCTGGTGAGTGTTCGGCTCTAGGCGTTTGGCTCTGAGCCCCTGAGTAAACAGACATGTGCTGGCCCCAGTGTGGCCTTCTTTGGAAGTACACGGCTTCTTGGGAGGCCGGGCACGAGTGACAGAGCTGGGCACACACCCCCTGCCCCTGCAGGCCTGGCACCTGGTGGTCTGTACGTGGCCTACAAAGGCTAGGGTCCAAAAACGGATGTCCAGGACTGTCTGGCACTGGGAACACGTAGCCGGCAAGGTCTGGTGATGGGGAGGAGGCCGGGGCCCAGCCTTAGTCACACAAGCCCCGGGAGGTTACACGGGCAGAGCGAGGCTGGAGAACTCCAGTTCTGGCTGGTGGAACTCTTGCCCCCACAAACATATAAAGCTCGCAAGAAAAATATGTAAAATATATACATACAGGCACAGACAAAACACTGGAGAGGTCTGTGCCAACACGTAAAGATGGTAATTTGGGGGGGAGTTGGGATTATGGCAATTTACATATTCTTCTTTTCACTAGTCTCTATCTTCTAAATTTTCTTTAGTGAACATGCATCATTTAGCAAAAAGAAAAAAAAAAAAGCTACTGGAAATTGTTATAGGGGATGCTATGCTGCTGGTGGTGGTGGTGGTGGTGGGGCCGCGGGGTGAGACTCTGGGATGCGTGTCCCTGGAGAAAGACCAGCTTCCCCGCTGTTCCAGAAGCTTCAGTGGCCCCCATCCAACCGCCCTGCTCCACGCTCGGGCCTTCCGGGCCCACCAGGGCCCCAACTCGCCGCCCTGCCGGGCAGGGCATTTTCCTACGGTCAAGGCTGCCTCCGAAGGTCCAGCCCCCACCCTGCCAGTCTACGTCCTTCCTGCTGTAAGAGTCCATGTCAGGAGGGCCCCTCCCCTTCTTTATTAGGGATGCTGCCTGGCCATTCCAGGTGCAAATAATACTGTGATGACGGGCATCTTTAAGTGATTACAATGTGGTGCTAAAGCACATGTGTCAAACACAAGGCCCGCGGGCCAAATCCGTCCCGCCAGGCCTTGCAATGTGGCCCGCACCGCGCTGTCATCATTGCACTCCGCTGCGTTTCCATCACAATGACAGTTTATGACTGTTCAGTAAACCATTCAGCCCGCGATTTAGGCTGGATTTTAGATTTTGGCCCCTTCTCTGATTGAGTTCGACACCCCTATGATAAAGTATTAGTGCATCTAATCTGCACACCCCCGGCAGCATCTACCCAGTTACCCCCATTTTACAGGTGAGGACACGGAGGCTGCAAGTGAGGCGGGAAGAGGACAAGTCACGTGCCCATGTCACACGCCAGGAGGCGGTGGCTCAAGCTCGGATGCCAGTGCCTGCCCTCCCCACCCTGACACTGGCCTTTGGACCCTGCTCACCCGTGCTGACTCAAACCCCACCCTCCCTGGCGGCAGAGACATGTGTCTACGTCCACACGTAAGCGGGCACAGGGCTTGCCACCTGCCCAGCAGGAGCCCGAGCTCCCAGACCCACCCCGGCCCCTCTGCGTCAGGGAGTCAGGGGCCAGCCGCCGCCCAGAGTCTGGGCCCGACCCCTGAAAAGGCCTGCTCGGGGGGTGCTCCCTCACCCACCAGGACTCTGATCTCACTTCCCTGTGCCGCCTGGCACAGTCCTGCTGCCAAGGTCTTCGCTTGTCGGTCCCCTTCCCTCTCCCCTCCCGCCACTCCCCACCTCCCACCCCCCTTCTTCTCCCCTCTTCTGGGCACACCATCCTCCCTACCCCCCTAGACTCTGCCCTCACCTGGCGGGCGCTTCACAATGAATGCACTGACCCCTCACAGCAAACCTCTAGGTGGTTCTGCCATGACACCCACATCGCAGACAGGTCACAGAGAGGGCAAGGGCCTGCCCAGGGTCACACAGCATGTAGGGCAGGGCTGGGATTTGACCCAGAATGGACGCTTCCAGCCCACCACGGTCTCCTGGCACATACTCTGTCTCCCGCTTCCTCCCCCTGCCCTAATTTGGCTTCCATTTACTACAGCCTCAATTCCGTTCCCTATGTCCTTGCCCCTGCCCCCGGGTTAACTCAGGTCCCTGTCCTTTGCACGTGGCCGCTTGGTCCAGGTGCTCCCTTTCTCCTCCAGGCCATCTCCCCAGAGGGGCCTTCTCTGCTGCAGGGCCTCCCCCCGGGAGCCACCCTGTGCATGTTCAGGCGGTTGGTTGCCCCTCACCTTAGGGTGGGCTCTTGTGCCCTGACTTTCGTGGGGACTCCTGAGGGAGGCTGGGTGTGGGTGCCCCCAGCTCTGCTGGGCCTGGAGCTCAGACATCCCCTTCCTCCCCCTCACTCCCTCTCCTCCCCATCCACTCCAGAAGGCCCTGAGCCCCGGGCATTGCTGTGACCACCACGTGAGCTCGTTATGTTCCTCTCTCGTCCATCTGACTGCGTCCATCTGTCTCCTTCCTGGGGGAGGGGCACACGCAGCCGGGGGGTGGGGGTGGTATTCCTCTGGCATCCCTGCTGGATCGCATCATAAGTGCCTTTCGGCGATGAGGAGGGGGAGCTGGCTGAGGGCCTGACCCCAACTCCACCCCGGGGTCATCCCCTGGGGATCCTCTCTCTTCCCTGGGCAGTCAGTCACCTGTGTGTGCCGTGTAGTTCGGAGTACTTGATACCTATTAACTCCCAGAGGCATGTCTGTCACCACTCCCGTTTTACCGATGAGGAAACTGAGGCACAGACGGTTAAGTGATCTGCCCCAGGCCGTGCCGCTGTGAAGCTGGATGAGGTGATGCTGGCCACTTTGGCACTGCCTGCATCTGCCCATGTGCCCAGCACACACAAGCGGGCACAGAGACACGGGGCCTTCCACTGAGGCCCGCTCCCCGTACCTCCTTCTGCTGGGTGAGCTGGTTCTCCAGGTCCTGCACGCGCCTCTTTTCGGTCTCGAAGGCCTCCTTTACTTTCCTCTCATGGGCCGCGCTGCTCTCCAGAACCTGCAAACCGGAGGCCAGTGATGTGCCGAGGTCACCCACTCCGATGACGCTGAGAATGAGGCCAGCTAAGGGCCGGGGTGGTCTTACCGGCCACGCCCGCGGCCTGCACCTCCCCCTCTCGCAGCAGCCCTCTCAGAGAAGTTACGCCCCATTTCCTGGGTGAGAAACTGAGGACAGGAAGTCGGTGGGAGCCCCAGGGCCACGCACTTTGTTGGCGGTGGGCGGGGATCGGAGCCCTGTGCGAGGAGAGAGCCGCCTGCACGCAGGCCTCGGAGGCAGCAGGAGGGCAGGGGGCCAGGCCTGAATGATTTTGGTGCCGGGCAGCCTCCCAATGAGCAGAGAATCCATTAATAGTGGAACGTGCCCATCCTGGTGGGCTGCCCTGGGTGGGAAGACTCCCTGGAGGCGGGAGAGGGAGGCTGGGTAACGGCAGGAAGCTGCTGAAGGATCCGCCCAGCCCCGAAGTTTAGAGCTCCGTGACTGCCCCAGCCCTGCGCTCTGGTCCCACTCTCCATAGAAGACGCCATGTCCCAGTCCCAACCTCTCTCCCAAGCCCTGCCTGGGGCTTTCATTTTATTTTATTTAAAAAAAAAAATAAAAAAATATATATCTTATTGATTTTTTTTACAGAGAGGAAGGGAGAGGAGAGTTAGAAACATCGATCAGCTGCCTCTTGCACACCCCCTACTGGGAATGTGCCCACAACCAAGGTACATGCCCTTGACAGGAATCGAACCTGGGACCTTTCAGTCCGCAGGCTGAAGCTCTATCCACTGAGCCAAACTGGTTAGGGTCGTGGTCGGCAAACTGCGGCTCCTGAGCCACAGGTGGCTCTTTGGCGCCTTGAGTGTGGCTCTTACACAAAATACCACGGCCTGGGCGAGTCTATGTTGGAGAAGTGGTGTTAGAAGAAAGTTTAAGTTTAAAAAATTTGGCTCTCAAAAAAAATTTCAATTATTGAAATGTTGATATTTGGCTCTGTTGACTAATGAGTCTGGTTAGGACAATGGGAGGGGGCTGTGTTTTATGCTGTTTATAACTCTCCAACTGGTTGTCAAGGCTACGACTCCATGGTTCTCTCCTAGAGCCGCCAGGCCTCTCCCCAAAGTAGCTGAGCCCCCCGGAGGACAACTTACTCTGGGGGAGCTGCCCCCACCCCGCCCACCACATCTGTGGCTCTGAGCGCACTCCAGGGCCCTCGGGCCTGGTCGGGGCTGCAGCTGACCGCCCCTGAGCTGCCTACCTCCTTCTGGTGGGTTAAGCGGTTCTCCAGCTGGTAGACTCTCCTCTGTTCTTCGTCCAGTGCGTCCTTCACTCTGCCTTTCTCTTGCATAAAGCTCTCCTCCAAAGCCTGGAAGCCAACGGGTGCTGCTTAACAGACCGGGTTACCATGGCAGGGACCTGGACTCGGAGCCAGGCGCTGTGTCCGTTAATGCTCCACAGCTCACCGCACCGCACCGCATGGGGGGCGGTGGCCGCGGAGAGCCCGGGACGGGGGTGGGCAGGCCCCGGGCAGTCAGGGCCCGGGCCAGGCCTGGATTGGGGCCCAGACAGACTCAGTCTCCCCGAGCTGTATACCTTCCTCTGGTGGCTTAAGCGATCCTCCAGCTCCTGGACTTTCTTCCGTTCTTCCTCTAGGGCTTCTTTCGCTCTGTTTTTCTCTTCGGTGATTCTCTCCTCCAAAGCCTGAAAGTCAGTGGGCGTTGTTTAACAGCCCTGGTTACTATGGCAGGAACCTGGCTCTGTGCCAGGCCCTGCAGCGGTCAGAACCTGGGGCTCTGACCGGCAGCTCAGATCCCAGCCCCAGGTCCATCCCTCCGGTGTGTGACCTTGGGCAAGTGGGAAGCTACAGAAGCCTCAGTTTCCCTGTCTGTACAGTGGGGACAGCCATGGTGCTTCCTGCATTGGGTGGATGTGAGGAGCAGATGAGATGATAAACATGAAACGCTGGGCACACGCTAGCCATTCGTGAAAAGGGCTGTCATTTCTCTGTCATCTCTGCTTTGCTGAGGAGGAACTAGGAAAGCGAGAGAAGCAATCTGCCTAGTTAACCACGAGCAGGGATTCAAACGCTGGCCTATTTGACTCTGGAGCCTGCGTTCTAAACCACGGTTAGCAAACGATGGTCTATGGGCCAGATCTGGCCCTCTGCCTGCTTTTTGTAAATAAAGTTTTATTGGAACACCTCCTTGCTCATTGTGGATTGCCTATGACTGCTTCACAGTACAATGATAGAGCTAAGCAGCCACGGCAGAGACCGCATGACCTGCAAAACTCGAAGTCTATGCCGTCTGGCTTTTTGTGGAGAAAGCTCGCCAGCCCGGATCTAAGCCATTAGTGCGTGCAGAAATCAGGTGAGGGTTGTGAACAGATGATAACACAAAAGATTGGAACTTCGGTGAAGGAAATTTCTTATCATTGAAACAGAGCCCTCAGACAAGCCAGGGCCCATGAGTAAATTCTGACACACCGTCCTGTATCATGCGGCATGAAAAAGGTGCATTTAAAATTGGGGCGCCTGGGTGCTGAGTCTGAGACAGCACTTTTTAAAAAAATATATTTTATTGATTTCTTACAGAGAGGAAGAGAGAGGGACAGAGAGCTAGAAACATCGATGAGAGAGAAACATCGATCAGCAGCCTCTTGCACACCCCCTACTGGGGATGTGCCCCGAACCAAGGTACATGCCCTTGACTGGAATTGAACCCGGGACCCTTCAGTCCGCAAGCCGACGCTCTAACCACTGAGCCAAACCGGCTAGGACTGAGACAGCACTTTTTGATGAGCGGGTGGGGTCCAGATGTCAACACTAAGTGTCTGGGAGCGAAGACCCTGCATGGGACAGCAGGGGCCTGGATCACTGTCTGTCTGTCTGGGTGGTCACCTGGCTGCTTCCCCTCTGCAGGGGGTGGTGGGCCCTGACATTGGTTTTGTTTAAAAGCGGCTGAAGCCGGCCCTCGAACCCCTGCCTCTGTCAGGGTCGATGTTATAAGTGGGTGTCTGGGAGGCCCAGGCTGGTGCCGCCAGTGGCGTGGAACGTGGTGGGGGTCAGCCGTGCACCCACAGGGAAGAGCCAAGCCCAGAGAGAAAGTAAAAGCAGCCATTTGGAAAGGGTAGATCAATCAGGAGGAGAGAGGAAGTAGTGGGAGGTGCTGGAGGCTTGACTTTTTCTGGTTTTAGCTTCCTCTCTATTGCCGGACACTGGCTTTTTGCATATCTAATTGTCCTTCAAAATGGTCCACCTGCCGAAACCGGTCTGGCTCAGTGGATAGAGCGTCGGCCTGCGGACTGAAAGGTTCCAGGTTCGATTCCTGTCAAGGGCATGTACCTTGGTTGTGGGCACATCCCCGGTAGGGGGTGTGCAGGAGGCAGCTGGTCGGTGTTTCTCTCTCATCGATGTTTCTAGCTCTCTCTCTCTCTCCCTTCCTCTCTGTAAAAAAATCAATTAAAAAATACATAAAACATTAAATAAATAAAAAATGGTGCACCTTGGTTTAAGTCTATCGCTAATATTGCCTCTATGGGGATCAGGTGAGATGTTGGGCAGATGGTTCTCCTTCTTCATTCGTTTATTTCACCAAAGGCAGAGGGACAGAGAAAGAGAGGAAGAGAAAGGAGGAGGAGACGGCACACACTGGAGGATGGAATGACACAGGCAGAGGTCTCTGCCTCTTGGAGGGGTCTTGGGGGGGGGCGTGTGACAGAACAGACTAAGCTGGAGGTCACGGAGCTCTGGTGCGTGAAAGACAGAGGCAGTGGCAGGGCAGCCCTGGGGGAAGGGCTGGGGCCCAGGGGATCTGTGCTGCTGTCTGAGGGGCTGTGAGGAGGGGCGGGCTGTGGTGGGACCACCTGGAGTGCTGACAAATGCTAGCACAGGAGCCACACCCTCACCCCAGTTAGACCAGAACCGGGGGTGGGGAGAGAGGCAGAGCATTCCTGTTTTTTAATCTGAATGACAAAAGGGCAGCCGAAGTCCCGAGCCACTGGTCTGAGATGATGGCCAGGAGGTGGTTAAAATCGAGGCGGTCCCTAAATATCAAAAAGAGCCGAGGCTGGGCTCCTGGAGTGCCGTCTCCTGGCCTTCTCCAGGGATTCTAGTTCAGTGGGTCTGGGGTGGGGCCCCAGGACCTGTAGCTTTAACCAGTGTCCAGGCTGTTCTCATCAGGCAGCCACGGGAAAACCTCCCTCTGAGGCTGCTGCTGGACGCGTGGTCTGCAGACCTGTGCCAGCCGCAGCAGCCAGCCGGGAGCTCGTTAGAAATGCAGGTGCCCGGCCGCACCCCGGACCTGCGGAGTCAGGACCTCGCTTTATCAAGACCCCTGGCTGACCCTCAGGCACCTCAGAGCTAGAGAACTTCCCTGTAAAATGTCCTCTCCCACTTGGCGTGGTTTCTAGAAACGTGAGCAGCTATTTTGGCCATTTGTCTTCCCTGGTAAGTGTAAGGGAAGAGCAAAAGGCTGGAATCAAAACGTACAAAGAGAAAGCAGAAGACTGAGATAACACGACGCTGGTCTTGCAAACACTGAGAACCACCCAGGACCTGCGGTGGCAGCTCCGACAGTAAAATCAGAGGCAGCATTTAAACTAGGGGTGTCGAACTCAATCAGAGAAGGGGCCAAAATCTAAAATCCAGCCTAAATCGAGGGCCGAATGGTTTACTGAACAGTCATAAACTGTCATTGTGATGGAAACGCAGCGGAGTGCAGTGATGACAGCGCGGTGCGGGCCACATTGCAAGGCCTGGGGGACGGATTTGGCCCGCGGGCCTTGTGTTTGACACATGTGATTTAAACAGACGAGCTACTGGTTCTAGAAATTTCAATAACATTTCCTTTTCAAGGTGGTTTTGCTCTGAGTTTCAGAATTCAAGCTCCACGTGAACTCCTCCAACATCACTCACTCCTTTGAGGAATTTAGTTCCCTGACACCAAATGACTTGCTGAGGTTTCTCCATTGAAGGCCATGCTTTTAATTTGTCATGGAAAAGGCCATGGCCTCCGTTTTCAGTAGAAAAAAAAATAATGACAGGAACCTTACCGCCTTCTCTTCCATCAGCCACTTGACTCTAGCCGTCAGCTTCTCTTCTTGCTGTTGCCTTTCTTTGCTTAGCTTCTCCTTCTCTGCCAGATACTCCCGTTGTGTCTCTTGCAGCAAAGATTTTTGAGTTTCCTGAGTACTGCTGACTTTGATCTGAAGGAGAGGAAAGGACACTGAAGCTGATAGGGGACAGGGCTAAGGGCAGGAGTCTTTTCCATGGTTGTTTATTGTTTTGTTTTGTTTGTTGTTTTTACACGTTGTTTACCTTTTTGGGGAGGGACAAAGCTTTATGTGAAACATTCCTAAACACAAGGAAAATCTATGCTTTTCCCTAATCTATTCCCTGTCCTGCCCAGTGACACTGCACTCAGCCATGTGACCTGCTTTGGCCAATGGGACATAACAGCCATGATACAAACAGAGAATGACTGCGAAGCACTCCCTGACCGGTCCTGCTTCTCTTTTGCCCCTGCCAACCATAAGAGCATGCGCGGGCCGGCCAGCTGGGGGAGCGAGGACGCCCTGAGCAGAACAGAGCAGAGCTGCTCCGGCTGGGGCCAGTCTGGACCGGCTGAGGGTAGGCCGGCGCAGACAGTGGGCAAACCCACGAGGGTCAGCGGGGACTCGGCGGCAGCCTGCAGGCCGGGGCAGTGACTGTGGAATGCCTCTCCTGTGGGGTGGGTGTTCGTTACACGCATTTAATGGCCATGACCGTGAGGGCGACACAATCCCTGAGGATCACGTTGCCTCTGACATGCTGACATTATGTCAGTTTTGGTAATTCTGCTGCCGGGACTCTGGCCAGCTGTACCTCTTCCGCTGCATTTGATAAACAGTTTTCAAGATCTGAGGGCTTTTGAGGCCTTTCTGTGTGTGTGTGTGTTTTTTTTTTTTTAAATATATTTTATTGATTTTTTTTTTTTTTTTTTTTACTGAGAGGAAGGGAGAGGATAGAGAGTTAGAAATATCGGTGAGAGAGAAACATCAGTCAGCTGCCTCCTGCACACACCCTACTGGGGATGTGCCCGCAACCAAGGTACATGCCCTTGACCGGAATTGAACCCGGGACCCTTCAGTCTGCAGGCCGACGCTCTATCCACTGAGCCAAACCGGTTTTGGCCCTTTCTGGGTTTTGATAGAGGGAATGAGCACTCTGGCCGGGCCGTCCTGGGCCATCCCAGCCAGCCCGCCTGAACCCCTTCACATGCGGATGGAGCTACGGTTTCACCTGCTGGAGGGTGCGGACTGACCAGCTAACAGGTAAACGGGGTTCACGTGCACAGCGCTGCGTGAACGCTGGGGAGGTGCCGGCCTGACCTTCCCAGAAGCTGGAAGGTTACCTGCAGTTCCTGGGTCCGGACGGAGACTTTTTTATAATGTTCCAGAAGATGCTTCAGGTACAAAGACAGCCCTTGAAAAGAGAAGCGAGAAGAAGGTAAGCATCTGCTCAGCTCACCTCCTTTGCTTTCCAAACAGCCTCTCGGCAGAGCTTGCCGGCAGGTGGGCGAGGGCAGCACTGCACGCCCATCAGGAAGACGTGAGCTTCTAAGATGGCTGGTCAGCTGGGATGGGCTCAAAGTCAAGTTTCTTTCTGGAGGCGGCAGAGGAGAACCCGTCAACAGAACACCTACCAGCCAAGCACCCACTGTGTGCAAAGCCATAAAACTGAGGGACAAGGTCCAAAGCCTGAAGGAGGACATGGAGCTGGAAGGACCCTACGGAGAGGTGGTCAGCAGAGAGCTGGGCATGCTCAGTTGGCAAGACCAGCCCAGCTCACCAGGGTCTCCATGGGCCCCTGGTGGGCCTGGCCCCGGCCAGCGTCCCCATCTGGCCCTGTCTGCCTGGAGCGGCTGGTGAGGCATGCGGAGCGGGGAGTTTCTCCGGGAGGAAGGATGTGAGAGAGGAGGAACAGTGGATGCCCTGGAGGAAACATCTGGGGAGGGACAGGACTGGAGGAAGGGGCTGCTCAGAACCAACCAAGACCATCAGGAGACAGGCAGGTGTGCCAGGCCTGGGAGGGCCCAGGGTGAGAGGGTTTTGAGCTGGAGAACCGAGCGTGTTGGGTAGGCCAGAGAGGACGCGGGCCCGGGGAGGGTGGTGGGCCGGCCGGGGCAGGAGGGCTCCGTGGCGGTCACTCAGTCGGGGCAAAGCAAAGAGGCAAAGACAGAGCAGGGCGTGGGCCGTGAAGACAGAGGGTGTGTCACACTTCTTCAAGGCCATCGAGGAGATAGGAGTGTGGGGAGCGGGAAGGGAGCTAAGGAAGTAGGGGGTTCCAGAGAAAAACTGCCACCGTGAAGAGCTTGCTTGGTGGAAAAGAGAACGAAGGAGAGAACAAAAGAAAGGCTGAAGGCGCCAGAGACAGAGGTCACAGTTCAGGACCGTGCGCGCACAGCTCTCCGGGGAGAGAGGAGAGGGCCCAGGGAGGGAGAACATGGTGGGGAAGGCGGGAGAAAGGGAGAGATGGTGGGGACAGGGAGGAAGGGGGATGTGGAACGGAACACGCCTGTGCCGGAGCCCTGATCTCCGTCAATGGAACTTTCTGAGAACTTCTACCAGGGAAGAGTGAGAATGATGTAATGGCTCTCAGGTATGAAGCATCTACTTTGTGCCAGGCACCAAGCCAGGAATCTGCACATATTTTCTCATCATTATGAGCAACCCAGCAAGGAAGTGTGTTTGAATTGATAGGTGAGACCCAGAAGCTCAGCAAGGTTAGGCTACTGGTCTGGTAAGTGGAGGGATCAGAATTCAGACCCACGCCTGCCTTTCTCTTTTAAAAGAGAGCGGAGGCTCCAGAGCAAAGGGCTGGGTTAGTTCACGGGAAGCGTGTGTGCAGAGAGGAGCGCTGGGAGGAGACCAGGAAGGCCCGGGGGCGGGGCGGCCTGGGTGGCCCTGGCGTGGGCTGTAAGAACCAGGCGCCCCTGGGTCTGGGGTGGCTAAGCTGGGGTGCGGCTGGGACTGTGCTCCGCCGCCACCTGTGACCCAGGGACGCACGGGGAAGGATCAAGTTCTGGGGAGGACCCAGGGAGGGTTAGGGACAGGAGGGAGTCGAGGAGGTTGAAGGGAAGACAGATTATGTTTCTAGATCCAACGATGAACAGTGATCAAAACGACATCTCTCTTTGGGAGAAGGAACGATTCTTTCTCATATTTCTGGTTATACAAGTTGTATGTGCTCATTGCAAAAAGCCCGACATTGCGGAAACCCGCCTGTGGGAAGTGCACTGCTGTGTCTTCAGTGGCCGGCGCATAGTAGGTGCACAATGGCTAGTGTGGAATGAGGGAAAGGAAAGGCCCTGAACGCTGGACAATACTCTCCACAGGTTTGTCTTTTTCTCCAGATTTTTCTTTTGATCAGATACTGACATGAAAAAACAAAAAAATGGGAGTGCCCCATGCCTATTGTATTACAGCTTGCTTTTTCCCACTTAAAAACACTGCATAGCTCGGTTATCAGAGAGTGACTCCTGCACACGTGGGAGCCTTTTGTGAGACAAAGCCTCACTGAAGGAGACACACAAACTGCGCTGGCGAAGACAAACCGGGTCTGTTCCTTCCTAATCGAGAGGCAGAGAGACCGGGTGGGAGGCGCAGGAACGAAATTTCAGGGTTCCTCCTTAGCCGTTTCCTATCTCCCCAGCGGGGCGCACAGCCAGCCCTCCGCCGATCAGATCGGCTCCAATCTCTTACGACATTGCCCAGCAACGCAAGGGGCTCCCCTCTCCCGGGACTCTCCCAGGGAATTTATTTCGGGATTTACAAACTTCGCTTGTGATATCCCTTGTCTCTTAGATCCGTGGTCGGCAAACTCGTTCGTCAACAGAGCCAAATACCAACAGTACAATGATTGAAATTTCTTTGGAGAGCCCAATTTTTTAAACTTAAACTTCTAATGCCACTTCTTTAGACTCGTCCAGACCGTGGTGTTTTGTGGAAGAGCCACACTCAAGGGGCCAAAGAGCCGCATGTGGCTCGAGAGCCGCAGTTTGCGGACCACAATCTCGGGACAACATCCTGAAAGGCAGGCGGTGCGGTGGTGCAGAGCCTGCTCTGAGGTCAGAGGGACCCGGACTGAGTTCTGGCTTGGCCAGGAGGCGGCTGGGACGCTCGGCCACTGTCCTCTCTCCAGGAGGGTGGCCTGGCCAGTGCTCCTTGGGTTCAGTCCAACTGAACGCTCACGACCGAGAAAACCTCGTCTGCTGCCAAATGGGGATGGGGGCGGGGGGGGGGGGGGGCGCGGTTTGTGGCCCGTCACCCCGGTGTGAGCACACAGGCTGTACGCCCTGTGCTGCCACCCACCTGGGGGCCACAGGAAGTCAACGAGTGAGGGCGCTGGCGCTGGCAGGTCAGTGCTCCTCCCATCGTTTAACCCTCACAACGACCTTATGAGATGTTGTCCCTGTTTTATTTTATTTATTTTTAAAAATACATTGTATTGATTTTTTACAGAGAGGGAGAGGGGTAGAGAATTAGAAACATGGATAAGAGAAACACCGATCAAGCTGCCTCCTGCACACCCCCTACTGGGGATGTGCCCGCAACCAAGGTACATGCCCTTGACTGGAATCGAACCTGGGACTTTTCAGTCCGCAGCCGACGCTCTATCCACTGAGCCAAACCGGTCAGGGCGTCCCTGTTTTATAAACAGGCAAACGGAGGCGCAGAGAAGTCAGGTGCGCAGCGGAGAGCCAAAGCTGGCTGGTCTCCGGAGGGCAGACTCAGCCATCCTGCCGTGACACGAGGGGCTGTCCCTGGGCCTGGCTCACTCAGAGAACGGAGACACGTCGCTCTGCCCCAGCCCAAGTTAACGACGAGCCTGTCGTCTGGCGCTGGGCATGGCCCTGCTACCCTTCTGGGCCCCAGAGGGAGTGGGGGCCATCGAGAAAACACAGGCATTCGGATGGCAGCGACCTCAGTGTGAGTCCTGACCCTGACATGTACCGGCCCTGTGACCTCCAGCAAGTTTCCTGATGGCACTGAGACTATTTCCTTGCCTGCAAAGTGAAGGCAGGGCAGTGCCCAGCTCACTGGCTGTGGGAGGACAGAAGCACACAATGTGTGCAAAACAGCCAACACAGGGACACGCTCCCGGGAGGAGCTACATGGCGCGCCTCCTGCCCATCTCTCAGGAACTGTACACAGAAGGCTCCTACGTGTACACGTCTGTGGACGGTGATGGGTGACTGGGCGCCCCCTGCTGGCCTCAGTAATGGAAAGTGCCCTGAGTCACCTTGTTATGGTCGCCAGAACTTGGGGGTAGGCAGGATGTCCCTCCCTCCCGAGAAGAATGAACAAGCTGTGGTTCCGCCAGACAACGGAATGCAGTTCAGCACTAAGAAGACAGGAGCCACGGAGCCATGAAGGACACGGAGGGGGTAAAAAGAAGCCGACCTGAGCTACACACACTGCACGATTCCAACTCCGGGACCTGCTGGAAACGGCCAAACTGTGGGGACAGTAAGAAGACCGGCAGCCGCAGAGGCTGGGGGTGGGGGGAGGGATGAATACACAGGCAGAGCAGAGGGTTTGCACGGCAGAGAGAACGTCTGTCTGGTACACAGAGGCAGGTGCGTGTCCTTACAAAGGCGTCCCAGCCCACGGAATGCACTGTGCCAAGAGTGAGCCCTCACGAGGACCGCGGACTCCGGACAATGATGATGCGTCATGTAAGGTCCACCCTGGCGAAGGATGCTGACAGTCATGGGGAAGGACAGCGGGCAGATGGGACATCCCTGAAATTAAGTCTCATTTTTAAAAATTAATTAATTAAAAATATATATTTTATTGATTTTTTTTTTTTTTACAGAAAGAAAGAGGGATAGAGAGTTAGAAACATCGATGAGAGAGAAACATCGATCAGCTGCCTCCTGCACCACCCCCCCACCGGCAATGTACCCACAACCAAGGTACATGCCCTTGACCAGAATCGAACCTGGGACCTTTCAGTCCGCAGGCCGACACTCTATCCACTGAGCCAAACTGGTTTCGGCTTTATTTTTATTTTTTAAGGCAAATTGCTTCTCAAGTGGAGAAGGGAAGCGAGTCTGGAGCAGGGGCACCTGGCCACGCACCCAAGAACTTTCCTCAGCAGATGCCCCTTTGTGATAAGGACTCAACACTACGCCCTAGAGTGCGGTCACGTGAGAAAAAACGGCCCCGTCACCTTTGTTGGAGCCGGGCAGCTGGATCCCCATGTCCCGGAGGAGCCCCTCGGCGTCCTCCAGCCAGGACTGCGACAGGCGCACCAGGTCCAGCGCCGCCTTCTGGAGCCCGGACACCGGCGGGCTCACCTGCAGGGCCTGGAGGAGCTCCACCTCCTTCCTCAGGTCCGAGCTGCAGCAGGACTGCTTCATGCGCGCCTGCAGAGAGAGGACGGTGAGCACCCGCCTGCAGACAGAGGACGGTGAGGCCTGGAGAGAGAGGACGGTGAGCACCCGCCTGCAGAGAGAGGACGGTGAGCACCCGCCCGCAGAGAGAGGACGGTGAGCACCCGCCTGCAGAGAGAGGACGGTGAGCACCCGCCTGCAGAGAGAGGACGGTGAGCACCCGCCTGCAGAGAGAGGACGGTGAGCACCCGCCTGCAGACAGAGGACGGTGAGCACCTGCCTGCAGAGAGAGGACGGTGAGCACCCGCCTGCAGAGAGAGGACGGTGAGCACCCGCCTGCAGAGAGAGGACGGTGAGCACCCGCCTGCAGAGAAAGGATGGTGAGCACCCGCCTGCAGAGAGAGGACGGTGAGGCCTGCAGAGAGGATGGTGAGCACCCGCCTGCAGAGAGAGGACGGTGAGCACCCGCCTGCAGAGAGAGGACGGTGAGCACCCGCCTGCAGACAGAGGACGGTGAGCACCCGCCTGCAGACAGAGGACGGTGAGCACCCGCCTGCAGACAGAGGACGGTGAGCACCCGCCTGCAGACAGAGGACGGTGAGGCCTGCAGACAGAGGACGGTGAGGCCTGGAGAGAGAGGACGGTGAGGCCTGGAGAGAGAGGAAGGTGAGGCCTGCAGAGAGAGGACGGTGAGGCCTGCAGAGAGAGGATGGTGAGGCCTGGAGAGAGAGGACGGTGAGGACCTGCCTGCAGAAAGAGGACGGTGAGGAACCCGACACGCCTCAGAAATCCCAACGGACTCCACCTGTGAAGAATGCTCTTGATTTTGCTGTGAAGCAGCAGAGCCCCAGGTCAGCGCCCAAGGGTGTCCCCGTCCAGTATTATTTGCTTAATTTTTTTGGTGGCGGAGGGTGGAGGATGGGAGGTGGTGGGGGTGGTGGTGGTGGTGGGGGGGGGGGTGGTGGGGGTGGTGGTGGTGGTGGGGGGGGGGGTGGTGGGGGTGGTGGTGGGGGTGGGGGGGGGGGTGGTGGTGGTGGTGGTGGTGGGGGTGGGGGGATGGGAGGTGGTGGGTGGGGGTTGAGGGAAGGGGAATGTAAGGGGCAGATTATTTTGTTTGCACCCTAACTTGGACTTTTGGTGGTCAGAGTGACCCCACTTGGGTCTATTCAAATTGAAAGCCAAATTGCCGAGGACAATAGGCTGAAATGAGAACTGAATCTGGCTATTTTTATTTGTCCAAATTCCTGCTGAGATCAACACATGAGCTGGTCAGAAAGTGCAGTTTGCTGATTGAAAGAGCTGACACACTAACATTTGCACAAACTCCCCAAATAGTAGCAGCAAGGAAGCAGTTGCCTGCTCCCGGAGGGGGCCCTGGGGCTGGGCCCCGCCCCGCGGGCCGCCCCCTCAGCGGGCTCGGGCAGGGGTGGGGGGCGTCCGGCCCACGGGTCCTATAAGGCCCGAGGAGTCATTTTGTCTGGCCCCGCTGAGGCGTCAGGGGTGGGTTAAGTGTTTGAGGAAACACAGCCGGCTGGTCTTTAAGCTGATGGTTGTGTACAGCCCAGGAGTGATGGTCCAGTAACCCGGTGGCCCTGGGCAGAGAGAAGGGCCCACCCCTGGGGAGGCACCAGGGCTACCAACCGCCTCTCCCTGCCGGGCCCAAAGGAGGAGCAGCTGGAGGACAGGCCTGCTGCTACTGCCCCCCTGGGGTCCGCCACCTCCCACTGAGGTACTCAGAGTGCCAAGCACCTCTTCCTGGGCCGCCCCAGTCCGCCCGGTGGCGTCCTCGGAGGCCCTGTGCTCCCTGCTCTCACACACGTTTCTCCAGGAGAGGAAAGGTGGGCACAGAGGCAGGGCACCCTGCTCGACCTGCCCCACGGAGGCCGACAGGCTCCCGGGCCCGGCACGGGTTCCCACAGAGGGGACGCAGGCAGAGGGGGCGCAGGCAGAGGGGATGCGGACAGAGGGGATGCGGGCAGAGGGGGGGCGGGCAGAGGGGGGGCGGGCAGAGGGGATGCGGGCAGAGGGGGGGCGGGCAGAGGGGGGGCGGGCAGAGGGGGCGCGGGCAGAGGGGGGGCGGGCAGAGGGGGGGCGGGCAGAGGGGGCGCGGGCAGAGGGGGGGCGGGCAGAGGGGGCGCGGACAGAGGGGGGGCGGACAGAGAGGACGCGGACGGAGGGGGCGCGGGCAGAGGGGGCGCGGGCAGAGGGGGCGCGGACAGAGGGGGGGCGGGCGGAGGGGGCGCAGACGGATACAGAGGGGGCGCGGGCAGAGGGGGCGCGGACAGAGGGGGCGCGGGCAGAGGGGGCGCGGGCAGAGGGGGCGCGGGCAGAGGGGGCGCGGACAGAGGGGGCGCGGACAGAGGGGGCGCGGGCAGAGGGGGCGCGGACAGAGGGGGCGCGGGCAGAGGGGACGCGGGCAGAGGGGGCGCAGACGGATACAGAGGGGACGCGGGCAGAGGGGGCGCGGGCAGAGGGGACGCGGACGGATACAGAGGGGACGCGGGTGGAGAGGACGCGGACAGAGGGGACGCGGACAGAGGGGACGCGGACAGAGGGGACGCGGACAGAGGGGACGCGGGCAGAGGGGGCGCAGGCAGAGGGGACGCGGACAGAGGGGGCGCAGACGGATACAGAGGGGGCGCGGGCAGAGGGGGCGCGGGCAGAGGGGGCGCAGGCAGAGGGGACGTGGAGGGGACGCGGCAGGAAGCGGGGACCACCTGGCAGCTGTCCAGCGATGCCCGCAGCCTCTCGATGCTCTTGGCGAGCGCCTCCTGCTTGCAGTGGCTAAGCTGGCTCTCCTTCCACCTTTTCTGCTGAAAGCTGACGTTGTCCTCCGTGACCTGGATGATCTTCTCTATTAACTGGTGACAAAAAAAGAAAAGAAAAGATTTAAAACACGAGGCCCCCTGGAGGAGGGAGCTGGGCGCGTCACCCGGTCTCTGCGGTGGGGAGGGCTGTCCTGCCGGGCGCGGGCGATGGCTCTGGAGGCCGCCATCGGCGCTGTCACCAGGACACTTTCGTTTCCTGGGATCCAAGACGGTTTTGAAGACCCCAAGGCCCGTACTGCTGTCACTCATTTGTTCTAGATTTTTCTGCCGTTTAGGAGCAACTGATAACACATCCTGATGCTGAGGGTCCGGTGGTTCTGAGGCCGACAAGAGCCGTGTGTCCTCACCCGCAGGCTGACACAGGGCGTGTGGGAGAATCACTGGAAACTAACAAGGCCCCCGCCGGCCAGAAGCCCGTCCTCACCTCCTTCTCTCTCTCTCTCTCTCTCTCTCTCAAGTATATTTTACAGAGAGGAAGGGAGAGGGATAGATAGCTAGAAACATCGACCAGCTGCCTCCTGTACATTCCCCACTGGGGATGTGCCCGCAACCAAGGTACATGCCCTTGACTGGAATTGAACCTGGGACCCTTCGGTCCTCAGGCTGACGCTCTATCCACTGAGCAACACCGGTTTCTGCTCTCTCTCTTCAGAAGGAACGGGCGGACGGGACTCCCGTGTTGTCTGGGCGAGGCGGCCCTTTCTCACGACGCTAACGAGGGTGCTAACAGGGCTGCCCCTGCGCATCCGGGGACCAGGTCACCCTGAGCAATGTGGTTTGATGTTCACAGAAACGTTTCAAGGGGGTTTCCCTGGCTTTGACTCTGAAAGCCAGGGAGATCCCATGAAATCTAAGCAGATCTTCATGGTGTGGCAGCATGTGAAAAACGTGTGCCACCACCAAAACCCGGACCACACGCTTCCAGCGGAGGCAGCAGTCCCGGGCCCGAGGCGGCGGCCCGGAGGGCGGGCGCACCTGCTGGTCGCTGACGGGCTTGTCCTGAAACGGCTTGGCTTGCCCGTACGTGGCCCTGATGACTTGGCTCCTGAAGTTCTCCAGCTGTGGACAAAGGAGGCAACTGAGTCAGGGGTGGGGGGGGAGCTGCAGCTGGCTGTCTTGGGGGGGTGGCAGGAAAAGTCAGTTAGGAGGGCCTGAGTGCCCTGGACGGCCATGCCACTGCCACGGCACTGAGATCCACCTGTCACTGAGGGGCAGTGCCTGCGGGAGGGAAGGGGCTGAGCTTTAATTGCGTCCTCGGCCTGCCTGCCTGTCCCAGCTGGTGCGTGTGGGCAGCGCGCGCGCGCGCACACACACACACACACACACGTCTCGAGCCCTCAGAAGAGCCGCTTGCTGCCAATTATCCGGCGGGAAGCCCGGGCCGGAGCACTCTGCCATGATTGCTGAGCTGGCCCCAGACTGTGAGGTAAACATGGAGGCTGTCAGCCCCGGGAAACTCATCAGCAGGGGGCCTGGGGACGGAGGGATCCACTCCCTCCCGCCGTTTCCCGCCCAGAGACCCTGGGTATCGTGTTCCTCTGTGCCCCCAGTGACTGGTCTGGGGCCTGGCACAGAGCAGACACCCCATAAAGGTTCACTGAACGCTGAGAACGGACACGTCTGTCAAAGACCAGGAAGGGGGTCGGGGGGCGGCGTGTGCTCCAGCCCAGCCCGCCCTCCAGGGCCTCCGTGGGGCCTGCGCTCTCGGATGGGATGGCGGGTGTTGAGACAGCAGTTATGTTAAAGCAGGTCTTACAGAACTGCAAGTTCAAGGGGCCCCAGGTTCCGTGAGAAGGCAGAGGCAAAGGAGCCTGAAACTTTGCTCATCTGGAAACTTCCCAGCGTGGAGGCCCTTGGCCTGGGTGTCCGGTTGCTGAGGACCCCAAGACAGAGCCCTGAGGGGGCGGAAGGGCCACCGAACCAGCCTGAAGGTCAACGGCCCCGACACAGGCGTGCACTGCGCACCGTGGGGCTCTGGGACCCGGCCGTGGAGGGAGACGCTCCTGAGGACACCCAGGCGGGGGGTGGGGGTTGGGGGTGGGGGTGGGGTGGCCTGCAGCAGCGACTGGTGCCTCGGCGCTCCATGCCCACCTCTGGCTTCACGGCCAAGGAGGGGGCTGTGCACAGAGGCCTGAGTGACGCCCGCCAGCAGAGGGCCTTGAGGACTGCTCAGGGCGGAGGGACAGGTTCTCCTGGGCCAGTGGTCGGCAAAGCCAAATATCATTAGTCAGCAGAGCCAAATATCAACAGGACAGCGATTGAAACTTCTTTCGAGAGCCACATTTTTTTTAAACTTAAATTTCTAACGCCACTTCTTCAACATAGACTCGCCCAGGCCGTGGTACTTTGTGGAAGAGCCACACTCAAGGGGCCAAAGAGCCGCAGTTTGCCGACCACAGTCCTGGACAATGGGCTGCGTCCTGGATCACTGGCCTGGGGGAGGGTGGGTCTGAGAGAGAGAGAGAGAGAGAGAGAGAGAGAGAGAGAGAGAGAGCGCGAGCGCGAGAGAGTGCGCGGGAGCAGGCCGTGGAGACGGGCTGGGCTGGGAGAGTCGGGGCCAGGGCGGGGCTCCTCCTCGCTTGAGTCCAGACCTGGAGGAACCTCAGTGCCTCGCGGGGTCCCCTCCCAGCTGACTGCTTCCTAGATGGTAACCGGGACCCCGCACTCGGCCAGTAGCACAGAGGATGCCCTCGCCTGGGCCTGCTGGGAGGGCAGCGTGCAGGAGGGCGAGGGCAGCCCAGGGGCACAGGGGGAGCCCGGACGGTAAGGTCGGCCCCGTGACCCTGGGGTGATGGTGGTGACGTTTGGTGAAGGAGCTTTAAAACCTGCCCGGTAGTCAGCAGCGCTATGAGCTGGTGCCGCTGACGGAGCCCGGCCAATGCGGGTCAGGCAGATGCTGCCCGAGGGGAGGGCGCTGGGGCGGGGCTGGGCGGGAGGGAAGGACCCTCAGGATCGCCGTGCTTGGCCTTGGTGGCTCACAGACGCTCCGAGGATCCACAGAGCAGCGTGCCGGGCCCTTCCTCCCGGAAAAGCAGCACAGCCTCGCGTGCACGCTAAACGCCCTTGGCTGCCCTCGAACCGTGGTGGCCAGGAGGAGCCTGAGGAGGAGCCCCCGGCGGGCTGCCCGTGGTGGGCTCAGTGCCCCTGACCCGGCTTCCCTTTGGCTCTCCCTTAGCCTGTGAAGAAGCTTTGTTTGCATGCTCTGGCCCTCACGATGTGCCACGTGTAAGGGGAGGGGCCTCGGGCCATCCAGCCCAGAACACGCACCCAGACCGGCCGGGCCGGCCAGCTCACCACCCTGCCCGGGGTCTCCGTCTCCCAGGAGCTCGGACATCCTGGGGCTTTGCTTTCTTAGGAAAAGGGGCGTTCCTCATGGATGCTGACGGGACCTCTGCTGGGGCCCAGAGGAGGCGGGAGAGGGGTGAATGTCAGGATGAAAATGTTAGGGAGAAGGTGCTGGAAACACTGCTGGGGTCAATAGGCTCAGGCCCTTCCCAGGAGGGAACGGCGGGCGGCTGGTTAATGGGGCAGGCACTGAAGGGTGACTGCGTGGCCGGGGTCTCGGGCGACGGCTCCCACGGGGAGGCAGGAGCCACGCGAAGCCGCTGCCCACGAGGTCAAAGGGAGCAGCACACCACGGCCGCCTTCCTCCTCCTCACGCTTCCCACCAGCCACTGGGCGCGGACGATCCCTGGGGGACGGACGGGGCCTCGGAGGGGCCCTGGAGCTCGCACGCCTACCTGACCTACTGCCCTTTCCAAATTGACTTTAATGAGGCTCTCTCTGCTCCCCATTTCTTGGAGCTGAAGCAATTTCCTTCTGGAATCCTCCTGAAGCTTCTCTTCAACCTGAAAGGGCGATGAAAGCAGGCGCTGCTGCTAATGTGATCGTAATGCACTCTGGGAAATCCCTCCAGGAGGGCTAACGGCCGGGGAGTCCCCGAGGGGGAGGGGCGGCTGCAGGGGTCAGGGGTGTGCCGGGCCCCTCGGGGAAAGGGCCGGGCCCTACTCTGTTTTGTCAACCGCAGACTCCGATCCCGGCTCAGCCCCTAACGAGCCCTGGGACCCTAGTAACTGAGAGAGTTACTGCCCTGCTCTGCGACTCGGTGTTCTCATCTGTCAAATGGGAACGATGAAGCTAGTACCGCCTCACAGCGGCATCGCGGGGACTCGCAGTGGTTAGCCTAAGAGGGCTCTGGAACCCACTCCGGGAGGCTTGCTAAGCGGTGAACCACAGCCTGTGAGGGAAGGCGTTTAGAACAGAGAAGCCAGCTGATCGCTTCCCCTGGTTTGGGTAACGGTCCACAGGAGGGGAGCTTGGGAGTGCTCGGTGCTGCCCTCTGCTGGCCATCACGGGCCCTGCAGCTGCTCAATTCATTTCGGAACAATAACATTTTGGGAGCATGTGCTGAGCCCAGGGCTCTGGCACTATCAGGAAATGAGGCAAACTCTCCGAAATAAACGGGAGGGTTTGTACCGAAATGCTCCATGGCTGTTTATTCGGGAGCCGAAGGGGAGCGGGGAGGGATGTAATAAAAGAGCCAGAGGACCCTTCACAGCCTACGCTGAGCCGTGGGGTCCACGTGAACTTGGAAAAGCCGCACACCCTCCCTGGGCCCAGTTTCTTCCACAAACACCCCTCCCAGGTCTCAGGAGCTCTGACTTCCGTTTCAGCAGACTTCCCTCCACTACAAGGCAGACTCCAACCTGGACTCTGCCCTCCTCCGTGGTCCCCACCATAATGAACAGCCCCACCCCGGCTTCAGGCCCAGGGTCATCTCCTGCGGCCCCTCTCTCACACCCGCTGCTCTCCAAACCCCGTGCTCCCATCCCTCTCAGATCCCCCGCTGCTCCGCTCCTATCCCTGCCCCACCCTGGGCTAGGCCCCACCAGGCGCTGAGAACTTTTGGCCTCTGAAAACATGCCTCTGGCCTCTATTTTCATTGCCTTTCAGAACATTCTTCATGGTCCTGAGAGTAACCAGGCTGTAGAACAGCTCTGTCTGATGGACTGGCTTCCTGTTTACGTTGGCTAACACGGCAGCCGTGAGCCATACCTGGCCAGAGCACTTGAGGTGTGACTGAGAAACTGAATTTTACATTTTCTTTAGTTTTGGTAAATGTCAATGTGAACAGTCACACGTGGCTGGTATGTGTATGTGTATGTGTGTGTGTGTGTGTGTGTGTGTTGTGTGTGTGTGTGTGTGTGTGTGTGTGTGGCTCCCGGCCTTGGCTGTGCCACTGACTGGCTTATGTACTGGCTGTATTAGTAACCAGCAGCCTTGACTCCCTCACCCATACAGCGGGAAGGATCATTTCCAGGTTATAGAGTCGTTGTGAGGATGAAAAGAGATGAACCCAGCCGGCGTGGCTCAGTGGTCGAGCATCAACTTATGAACCAGGAGGTCACAGTTTGATTCCCAGTCAGGGCACATGCTTGGGTTGTGGGTTCGATCCCCAATGGGGGCTGTGCAGGAGGCAGCCTATCAATGATTCTCCCTCATCATTGATGTTTCTATCTCTCTCTTCCTCTGCCTTCCCTCTCTGAAATCAATATTATTTTTTTTTTTTAAAAAAAGAAAACGATGAAATGTTTGGCATAACACATGAGAAATTACAGCTGCCAGCTTCACCGTCACTACTGATCACAAATGTGACAGTATCAGTGTCCAGTTTAGGGCCTCCGGTGGCTCCTCACTGCCTGTGAGGTAGGTAGCCCCCAGCGCAGAACGAACCAGAACGCCAAGCCAACGGCTCAGGAAGGTCCGTGAACTCCGCACGAGGCAAACGACTAAATAAACAAACCCACACCCCGATAAAGCATCCTCAGACCGCTGGAAACCGCGGGGACAGAGACTCTTAAAGCAGCCCAAGAGAAAGCAGAGCTATTGCAAAGGGGCGATATTAGGCTCAGCAACGACCTCAAAGTAGAAACACCAGGAGCCAAAAGACCCTAGAAAGATGAACCTCAGGCGACCTCTAAGGAGCTGAAAGAAAACCACTGCCAACTGGGATTCAGCACTCCGTCAAACACGGAGGTTAAGCGTACGTTTTTCAGACAGACAGACACACACACATACACACCTGAAAGAATCTGTCACCAGCATTGCCAAGGCCAAGGGCAGAGTCATCATCAAGAATGCAGAGCACAGCTCCTGGGGCAAGCGTTTAAAGACTCAGAAACTCAACGGATATCGGATTTTGGCAAGTCCGGGGTCAATGCTATTGTCTTACTCGTCTAAAAGTGTAATTAAGGCGTGAAACATTTCCAAGCAAACAGACAAAAATGGAATGACAGAAAACCATCAACTCAAAAGAGCCCAAGAAAGGAGAGAACAGGAAATACAGTGCACAAATATCATTCTAAGAGGGTAGAGTGAAGCCCCAATCAATATACCAGCAATTGCACTTTATATAAAGATTGTGACTGGGTTTTATAAAACGCCATGCTATTTAGAAGAGAGAAAAAAACCTTAAAAACAAAGATGGGCAGGAAAATGACGACGAAGATGCTGTGAAAACCCTAACCAACAGAAAGGCCGGTGGCCGATGCATCTGCGTTAAGGGCAACGCAGACTTTCAGAAGAAACATTAGACACGGAGATTTCTACGATGATCCAGGGGCGTTTCCTTTCCCACCGGGAAGAATTAACATTCTAAACGTACATGCACCTGGCAACACGGCCTCAAAATGGGCAAAGCAAAAGTGAGCGACATTAAAAGGAGAAATACACACACCCACGGTCATGGTGAGCTTTTTAAAAACACACCTTCTCTCAAAGACTGCAGATGGGACACACACACACAGAGGACGATCAGCAGCAGCATTTCAGTTTGAGCATCACTGGCAAACGTGGCCAATTCGGGATAATTTCACAATTCAGACCTGAAGGTGGGCTGGGGGAGCGGCTGCACACAGGGTTCGAGTCCTGCCGCCACGACTTTAGCTGAGGGATGTCGGGAAGCCCCCTTCGCTCTCGTGAGCCTCAGTTTCCCCAGCTGTGAAGTGGGGTTAAAACCGTGCAGACCGCACAGCGTCACTGCGAGGAGAGGATGCGTGGGGAGCGCCCGGCCCGGAGCGGGGCTGGGCCGCGGCTGCCCTGGCCTTACCTTGCTCTTTTCCCGGAGCGTCTTGCAGACCACGCTCTGGTCGGAGGTGCTCTTCTTCAGCTCCTCCCTGAGCCTCCTCATCTCTCTCTCCATGTTTTGGATTTGCTGGAAGAGTTTCAACAAAAGTCAGCTTCCCTGCCGGCTCGCCGGACCCGCCTTCTGGGCGGAGAGGGCTGGGTCTCGTAAGGCCTTTCACCGGGCACGTGAAGGCGAGGACCGGCTAAGGCCCGTCCCTGGGCGGGCAGGGGGGGCAGGGGGATGATCCTACGTCTGCAGAGCAAAGCAGACTTTTTTTTTTTTTCAAGTGACATATTGACCATGGCTAGTTTTGTTTGAAAATTGTAGAGGGCCTCCTGAGAACGCACATGGACATTCCTTAAATTGTTAGCTGAGCCCCAGGCACTGGCAGAGTACCTTTGTCCAGGTGTCAGCAGGGGTGGGTTAGATATGTAAATCCAGTAATGCTAGGGCCTAGTTAAGAATGCAAATAAGCCAAAACTGGTTTGGCTCAGTGGTAGAGTGTTGGTTTGTAGACTGAAGGGTCCCAGGTTCGATTCCCGTCAAGGGCATGTACATTGGTTGCAGGCACATCCCTGGTAGGGGTGTGCAAGAGGCAGCTGGTCGATGTTTCTCTCTCATCGATGTTTCTAGCTCTCTATCTCTCTCCCTTCCTCACTGTAAGAAAAATCAATAAAATATATTAAAAAAAAAAAGAATGCAAATAAGCTCCTTTGACCCTATAAATAAACCTGCATGTCTTGGGAGTTCGCCTTGCTGCCTCTCCATCAGAGAGATGGCGCCCACCTAGCGCCCAGCTTGATGAATCTATTTCTGCCTCTATGTCTCTTTCTCCTTTCTCTAATTTCTTAATCCCCAGCTCCTCCCCTCAGGAACCTGTCGTTTTCCGTGATGGACACGGAAAACAGAGAAACAGCCGCCGCAGAAAATCAGCTGTACCCTGGGATGGAACAGTGGGAGACATCCATCAGTCCATTAGGATAATTTTACAGTGATTCCTCTTGGGGTATATTTTTGCGATCAACTGGAATAAGGGCCGTTTGGAAGACACAATGGGCCCAGTTTGGAAGGACAAACAACGGATTTTCCTCCTCCCACGGGGGCAGAGACTGCGGATGTCCTGATGTGGGAGAGGCACGTCTCCCCTTCTGTTAAAGACGCTGTGCGCCCTCTGAACTGGAGCTGTGCCGGCTGGGGCAGAGGAGGGTCCCACTGGCCCAGGAAATGGACACTTCACTGTCGTGGTCGGTTTTCCTGCACCTTTAACAGCCGCCTTCTGCAGCGGCACAGGATGCCCCTGTGTTGTTGCTACGAGTGGGAGTGAGGTTACGTAAGGAAGAGTGTTGGGCTGGTGACAGTGATCAGTGTCCCTATGATGAACGTGTGACAGCGGGACATGCTGGTTTGGGCATCGCAGGGGCGGGAGCACAGGGTCTTTCTGGCAGCCTGTGGTGGCCACCCGGCCGGCCCCTGTCCCTGTCGTCCCCGACCCTGACCCTGACCCCGACCCCGACCCCACCCCGGCCCGGCCGGCTCTGAGAGAAACGCCGGGGAATGCTGGGAGGGTGTGTTTCCCAGGGTCTTCCCACCCGTGTCCTCCCAGAGGCAGCCGATCGAAGAGCGAGGAGGTGGCCCTAACCGTCACCATCGGGAAACCCCGGAGGCGGTGCTCCTGCCAAACCGGAAGGTCAGAGCCTTTCCGCGGGGGCCGGGAGCGAGGACGTTCCACTCACGGATTTGCTGAGTTTCAGCTCTTTCTCCTGGGCTTCCCGGTGCTCCTTCTGGGCCTCCTCCTTGGTCAGCGCCTCCTTGAGCAGGGAGCACTGTGGGGAGAGAGGGGCCGCAGGCCACGGGGGTTGATGGGGGCCCAGTCCCCACGGCGGCCCCGCAGAGCTTGTGCTGTTTGGTCCCTCGCGCCCCACACGCCCGGGGGCTGCCGGACCTGCGGCCGCTCCCAGGGCCCCTGCTCACGGGTTCTGAGGAGGAAAGTGTCTGAATTTTTTTTCAAGATCCAGCGAGCTACTCGGGGTGTTTGGGCCGGAGGGAGGCAGGGAGGGAGGCAGGGAGGGAGAAAGAGGGGCCGAGAAGGTCAGTCTCCTCTTTGCCCAGAGGAGAGCTGCACTCACTCTGGAGCTGATGGCCTCCAGCTGGCGGTCCTTCTCTTTGTTCTCGCTCTTCAGCTGGCTCACCTCCTGCTTCAGCTGTTGCACCTCCTCATCCTTGGCGACCACGTCCTTTTGCAAAGACGACACCATCCCTGTTTAAAAACAAACCACGGGAGACTCACTAAGTCAAAGGGACAACAGTGTGGACCACTGAGAACGGGGAGGCGGGGCGGGGGCTGCTTGTCACTGCAGCAGCCCCGGCCCTGCAGCTCAGTCCGGGCTGTGCACACAGAACACTGGGTCCTGCTGGGCTGGGGCCCGAGCCGCGGGGCGTGCCCGATGCTGGGGGGCTGGGGGATCAAACCCAGTGGTGTCTGAGAGAGGCTTGAAGCGAGGATGAGGCCTGAGGAGCCGATGTCAGGGAGGAAGGCCAGGCCTCAGCGCGTTCATCTTTCTATTTCCGATGCTTGGAGCCGTGCCTGGCCCGTGCAAATTTCTTAGGACTTTCCAGTTAGAGGGGAGTGTGAGCAGAGGCCTGGCAGGCAGGGTGGCGTGGGGTAGAGGACGGGGTGTGAGTGTGTAAGGAGTGAGGCTGAGGAACAGCCAGCCCCGGACACAGCACACAGATTCACACAGCGACGGTGACTCACTCAGGGCTCGGCCTCTGCTGTGACCGGCCCTCGGATGACAACAGCCCCAGGCGTGGCTCAGTGGCTGAGCCTCGACTTACGAACCAGGAGGTCATGAATTGGTTCCCAGTCAGGGTACAGCCCCAGTTGTGGGTTTGATCCTCTGTGTGGGGCGTGCAGGAGGCAGCCCATCAACGATTCTCTCTCATCACTGATGTTTCTCTCTCCCCTTGTTTCTCTGAAGTCACTAAAAATGTTAAAAGAAAGAATAGCCCCGACCCAGACTCACGCCTGCTTCTCTCCCTCCCTTTTTCTCTGTCACTGACTCCATCCTCATCAGTCTCTAGATTTCATCTTCTGCTTAAAAATCCCCAACGGCTTCACAGTGCCCTCAGACTGAGTCCCAGCCTCCTCCTGGGAGCCGGCCCTGCCTCCCGCCTGACCCGTCCACCCCCACGGCCCTCGTCCCCACCGCTCCGGCCCCCTGGCCTTCTGCCCCTCCCACAGGGCCCGCTCGCTCAGCCTCTGCTCTCCCTTCGCCTCCTCCCTCCGCTTCACCCCCGGAGCACCTGCCACCACGCTGCCCGATTTCTCTGCAGTGGGCTTGTTGATTCACGTTTACTCATTTCTGTCCGTCACCTGCTCCCAAATGTGAGCCCTGTGAGTTCAGGGACCCGACTCTTGCTCTGGGCTCTCTCCCCGGCCCCAGGACAGGCCCTGGCACCCAGTAAGTGCTCAGTAAACGTGCTGAAGGAATGCAGGGGTCCGGGCTGAGAGCCCTGTGCCCAGCCCAGGCGCTGGCTGCCCCTCCCCGAGTCCAGGGCTGTGGGGCGGGACCTCCGCCATCTCAGTGCCCCAGTCTCTGGGATGGCAGAGGCAGGGGCACTGTCAGTCAATGGGAAGAACCAGGTCCTCACTCAGCCCTCGTGCACCGGGGGAAACGGCGCCCCTCTCTGACGGTGCCTTAGAGCGGGGCCCACATTCAGGGCAAGGCAGCTTCCAGGGCTGCCCCAGCCCCATGGCGCCCGGTGTTCTTGTGACCTTCCAGCTAAGAGGCCATGTTCACTCAGACATTTAGCAGGCCCCGCCCGGGAACTGGCTGGCAATAAGCCTTTCTTAGGAGCAATCGCGAACTCACTGAGCCCTGCTGAAGGGGCTGCTGAGTCCATCTCTGCGCGCCTCCCTTCCCCCCCCCCCGCCCCTGAGGGCAGAGGCACTGGGATGGCGGAGGGGCAGCTCTGGGCACTGGGATGGTGGAGGGGCAGAGGCGGGGGCACTGGGATGGCAGAGGGGCAGAGGCTGGGGCACTGGGATGGCAGAGGGGCAGAGGCTGGGGCACTGGGATGGCAGAGGGGCAGCTCTGGGCACTGAGATGGCAGAGGGGCAGAGGCAGGGGCACTGGGATGGCGGAGGGCCAGCTCTGGGCACTGGGATGGCGGAGGGGCAGAGGCAGGGGCACTGGGATGGCAGAGGGGCAGAGGCAGGGGCACTGGGATGGCAGAGGGGCAGAGGCAGGGGCACTGGGATGGCAGAGGGGCAGAGGCGGGGGCACTGGGATGGCGGAGGGGCAGAGGCAGGGGCACTGGGATGGCAGAGGGGCAGAGGCTGGGGCACTGGGATGGCAAAGGGGCAGAGGCTGGGGCACTGGAATGGCGGAGGGGCAGAGGCGGGGGCACTGGGATGGCGGAGGGGCAGAGGCTGGGGCACTGGGATGGTGGGGGGGCAGCTCTGGGCACTGGGATGGCGGAGGGGCAGAGGCTGGGGCACTGGGATGGCGGGGGGCAGAGGCGGGGGCACTGGGATGGCGGAGGGGCAGAGGCGGGGGCACTGGGATGGCGGAGGGGCAGCTCTGGGCACTGGGATAGCGGAGGGGCAGAGACTGGGGCACTGGGATGGCGGAGGGGCAGAGGCTGGGGCACTGGAATGGTGGAGGGGCAGAGACTGGGGCACTGGGATGGCGGGGAGGCAGAGACTGGGGCACTGGGATGGCGGAGGGGCAGAGACTGGGGCACTGGGATGGCGGAGGGGCAGAGGCTGGGGCACTGGGATGGCAGAGGGGCAGCTCTGGGCACTGGGATGGCGGAGGGGCAGCTCTGGGCACTGGGATGGCGGAGGGGCAGAGACTGGGGCACTGGGATGGCGGAGGGGCAGAGACTGGGGCACTGGGATGGCGGAGGGGCAGAGGCTGGGGCACTGGGATGGCGAAGGGGCAGCTCTGGGCACTGGGATGGCGGAGGGGCAGAGACTGGGGTACTGGGATGGCGGGGGGGCAGAGACTGGGGCACTGGGATGGCGGAGGGGCAGAGGCGGGGGCACTGGGATGGTGGAGGGGCAGAGACTGGGGCACTGGGATGGCGGAGGGGCAGAGGCTGGGGCACTGGGATGGCGGAGGGGCAGAGGCTGGGGCACTGGGATGGCGGAGGGGCAGAGGCTGGGGCACTGGGATGGTGGAGGGCCAGCTCTGGGCACTGGGATGGTGGAGGGGCAGAGACTGGGGCACTGGGATGGCGGAGGGGCAGAGGCTGGGGCACTGGGATGGCAGGGGGGCAGCCCTGGATCCGGCCCGGGCAGTGCTCACCGGACGAGATGGCATGGTCCCTCCGTAAGGTCTCGCCCTCGTTCTTCAGGAAGCTGATCTCCGAGTTCCTCTCGGACAGGGTCTGGCTCAGCACCTGGCTGTAGCCCTGCTGCAGGGCGCTGACCTGCGGGCGGAGGAAGGGCAGTCAGAGAGGTCGGCCAGGTCAGGGGGCACCTGGTCTTGGATGGGGCACTGCTCCTCACTGTTAACTGGTGGAAGGGACAGGAGAGGCCTGTTCCTGTAGGCCCACCGGTTCCTGTGCCATCAAAACATGAGCTCATCGCTTTGTGCACCCACAGCGGGGGCTCGGGCACAGCTGCTGCCGGATAGCTGGTCCCCTAGTGTGCCTGCCGACGACCTTTGAACTCTCAGCCATCTACAGACCGACCCTTGGTTCCAGATCACCCAGCACCACTGGATACGGAAAAAAAATTCAACAGAGGGGAGCAGGTTATGAAATTAGTTCCCTCCAATGGTAATGACGATGTTGTGTACATCATAGAGCATTCCAGCCCCTTCTCAGGTGCTGCTACTTCTTTTTTTAAAAATACATTTTTATTGATTTCAGAGAGGAAGGGAGAGGGAAACAGAAACATCAATGATGAGAGGGAACCATCGATCGGCTGCCTCCCGCACGCCCCCTAGTGGGGATCAAGTCCTCAACTTGGGCATGTGCTCCGCCTAGGAATGGAACCGTGGCCTCCTGGTTCATAGGGCGACGCTCAATCCCTGAGCCACACTGGTTGGGCACATTCTACTTTTTGACAGCTCATCACAGCACCACTGAAGCCTGACGGTCTCATTACCGTCCCCATTTTGTAAGCGAGCATACTGAGCCTCAGCGAGCGAGGCCGCGGGCGCTGGGTCACTCCGCTGGTCGGAGGTGAAATTCCAACTCGCATCTCGGTTTTAGCTCCAGTTCTTCCCCTCCCGTCCCACGGCTCTGGGACCCGCGTGGAAAGCCAGAGGCTCTGAAATCTCGGGGCCAGCCTGCCACCTGCAAATCCGGCCTCCCCCACTTACAGGCCGTGGGGACACGGGGAGGGCACCCAACGCTGCTTCCCTTTTCATTCTGCAAGTGGGGTGGTGGGAGCCCCGAGCTGGCAGGATGTGAGAATGGCTTGATAAGGTAGTGCATGTGCGTGCTCTCGGATCACGCCCGGCACGCGGCACATGGCACATGGGTGTTAGCGGCGCCGATCCTCTCCCCTGACTCCCCGCGGCAAGTTCTGGCTTCATCTTCTCTCGTCTGTCTCGGGGGAAGGTAGGCGGGTAGCATGTCTGTGTGCATTTGTAAGCCTTGTCTAGGCTCACGAAAACACCAGTGCGGCTGTTGTTAAGAGCAAACACAGGGCCCGGCCAGTGTTGCTCAGTGGTTGAGCGTCGACCTCAGGGCATGTACCCTGACCAGGAATTGAAGTGTGATGAGCCCAGAGGTCACACTTCAATTCCTGGTCAGGGTACATGCCCAGGGTGCGGGCTCCATCCCCAATGGGGGGTGTGCAGGAGGCAGCTGATCAATGATTACCTATCACTGATGTTTCTCTCTCCCCCCCTTTCCTTTCCTCTCTGAAATCAATTAAAAAATATTTTTAGAAAGAGAGCAAACACAGGAATCCTTGGTAATGGTGCTATGCTGTCCACATGTGTCAAACACAAGGCCCGCGGGCCAAATCCGTCCCGCCAGGCCTTGCAATGTGGCCCGCACCGCGCTGTCATCACTGCACTCCGCTGTGTTTCCATCACAATGACAGTTTATGACTGTTCAGTAAACCATTCGGCCCGCAATTTAGGCTGGATTTTAGATTTTGGCCCCTTCTCTGATTGAGTTCGACACCCCTACTGTAGGCATAGTGCAAAAAAAAAAAAAAAAAAAAATGATGGTGGTGAGGTAAGCTCATGTAATGTGGTGAGAGCCTTGCCACCAGGTGGCGCTCAGGATCATCATTCTTGCTCTTGGTCTCAGAAAGTCTAGTCATTATTTCTCAGAATTTACCGAACCATCAAGGTTTCGTTTCATTTTCTGACCCATTTCCTGCCATGACATTTGGGGAAGTAACATTTACTTTTTCCCTGGGGCATCTGAAGCATGCAACTCTTCCATACAGGGCACTGGGAATAAGTTATTTTAAAAGAGTATCTGGCTCTTCTCAGCATAATGCTTTTGATACCAGAGGCACAACAGAAACTTCCAGAAGGGATGGGAAGACCTGCAAAGACTCCAGTGCTTCCGACAGATACAAAATAGTTAAACCGGAGCATGAGAGCTTCGGGATTTCAGATTGTGGGAAAACTCCAAACAGTCTTCAAATCACTTCTTTTCTTTCGTGACCGAAGTAAACGCCCGTATTGTGTGTCACCGGCATAAGCACAAGCAGCTTAGCGTCTGTCTTGCTGTGCAGTGAAGCAGGCGCCGAACCATGAGAGCGGTAACCGGGTGGCGGAGCGGGGGCTCCGAGATGAGGACCCGGCCGCTGGCTAGCAGAGGCTGCAGGAGCCGGAGCAGGCGCCCACAGTGACTGGAGACCTTCGAGGGCAGATCGTTACACACATACTGCGAGGGGCCCCAGAGAATGTATACAACCATCAGGCCAACAGGTCAACCTGCCGTGTGCCGTGTGCCGTGTGCGTGTGTGTGTGCTCTGGCTGCAGGTCCTCCAGACAGTAGAATATTTAAGGAACCAAAATATAAGCGGGCGAACCTCGATTTGAGTTCAAACCAGCTGAGCCTCTTGTTCAGAGACGCCTTGTTCTAACATATTCTCCTTCGGTTGTAAGTGAAGACCGGGGAAGGGAGGCAGGCCACAGTGGGATGAGTCAGTGTGATTATTTCTAGGTCATTTCTTTCCTTTTGCTTTTTTAAACCTTTTCCCGATATCACTAGCCGCTTTACACAATAGTTAACTGCAACCTGCCGACGGCCAGAGATTTGTGGGAATGGAGCGATGTTAGATGTCAAGTACATCGCAATGAGAACAAAGGTAGGTGGGGCATATGCATCCTCATCCACGTACCTGGACAAGACCTGTCACCTTTGCTCAGGAAACGGGCCAGTAACCGAAGGGCTGTTTCTCCATCCGGTGGCCCAACTGGGTTCAGAGAAGAAAGATGCTCACAACAAGCCAGCTGCAGTCAAGGCAGCTGCTTGCAGCCGTCATTCCTGCAGGACCAGCTGCTGACGTTGGTTTTTTAAAAAACGGGTCCAAGGAGTCATTTGTCCGTGTAGTGTGTGTGTGTGTGTGTGTGTGTGTGTCTGTGTTTCCTTGGCTTTCTGTCTCCCTCACTGGAATGCAGTCGGGAGGGGGCAGGGGTCATGTCCATGCTGTTCTCTGCTGAATTCCCAGAGCCTGGGAGAGGGCATGGCACAAGGTAGGCACCCCCCAAATATTTATTTGAGTGAATGAACAAGTGATGAATGAATGTATGAGTGAGTGAATGAACAGACATGGTCCTATCCGAGTAATGAAGGTCACGGGGTCTAGTCTTTGTCCTCCTGGAGCTTCCAGTCTCCTGGTGGAATCTCCTGGGTCCATCACACAACCTATGCATGCCCTTTCCTAGGCACCCCTTCCGGGCCTGCGACCCTGCACCTTCAGTTGGCTAGAGAAGGGAAAGGCAGTGACGGTGGCAGAGAGCTGGGCCCAAGCCTGACCCAGGTTTTAAGCGGCTTTGTGCGCCGGGGCCAGCATTCAGTAGTGGCCAGTTTCTTTTCTTCAGTCACCTTTGTTGAGATATAATTTGTGTGCACAGTCTATGGCCAGCTGTACAGGAGTCCTTAAAAAGACGGATCTAGTTTGGAGAGAAAGAACGGGACTGGTCCGTCCAGAACTGCTGGTGGAGGGTTTCTGTCTGAGGAAATGCCCACCAGCGAGCCAGCGGCTACCTTCGGGCTGTGGCCAAGGCCCCAGGGTTTGGACGCTGGGATTCCATGCCCCGTCCAGCTCACTGCCCACGGCTCTGTCTGGGGCTGGGTGGGAGTGGGAGGTAGGGGCAGAGGTGGTCCCTGAGACGGCAGAGTTGGGTGGACCTATCAAGTGGGGTGAGAGCATGGGGTCAGCACAGAGTTCACATTGTGCTGCCCTCGCCCCCTTGCTGTGCAAGCTGTGGCGCGGGGCTGGCGTCTCTGAGCCTGCCCCGGTCTCCTCGTCTGCAGGATGGAATGTGTCGGAGGATCGGGAGGTTAAAAGCCAAAGCCTTGCACATAGTAGGTGCTCAGTCAAAGTTAGTAGGGTTCTTCCCAGGCTAGAAACCTGCCAAGCCTCTCCTCCCTGGGTGCTCTGACACCCATCCCCCACCCCCAGCGCTGACCGCCCCTTTCCTGGCCGTCTGGGTGGCTCCTGCCGTTCTCCTCGGCTCCCCCCGAGAGCTGACGCCCTGCATCCTGACTCGGTCCTCGCCGGCGGGCTTTCCCCGGGTCCTACCTGGCTCTTCAGGCTCTGGATCTCTCTCTGCTTGGCGTCGATGTACTCGTTCAGAACGGGGCCCTTCGGCGGGGGCCCCCGCTCGCCCCTGGGGAAGGTGGTCTCCGTCAGCAGCGTCTGACTCAGGCTGGCCAGCTCGTTCTGCAGGTTCACGATCACGGCGTCTTTGTACTTGGATTCGAGCTCGAAATTCGAGAGGCGGCTCACTTCTCTTCCCAGCATCAGGATGACCTCATCCTGAGGGCGGAGGGGGGCAGATGGGCAGGTTACTGGGCCTGGGCCTGGGGTGAGGGCTTAGGAAGGCGAGGGCAGGCAGGGCAGGGGAGCAGTGGGGAGGAGAGCAGGAGGTGAGGGCAGGCGGGGGGGGGGGGGGCAGGAGGGGTAGGGAGGCAAGCCTGCAAATCTCCTGAGCCACTGGTGTCTAGTCTCCGGGAGGTGGGTGCTGGGCCTCACAGGTGCTAACACTTTCCTGCCCCTAGAGTTAGACTTTCATACCCAGCACAGCCATCCCCGCTGGGAACGTGGGTTGCTAGAAGAGTTTATCATGCTTTTCAAATTGTATCGTATTCAGCCCGGGACCCTGGGGACCCAGGAAAGGTAGTGAGGGAAACACCATTCTATTCGACCACATTCTGCTTATAAGGAGGGCTAGTTTTTAATTTCCATAAAGTTAATATATTCTGAAATGTTTCCTTTCTCTTTCTACTCTGTGGGTACTGCTTCCTGCCTCTCTTGGTTATTCACGTAAAAATGTGTCCCAGGAAACCGAACCGGGACCATAATCCAGGCAGGAACCAGGATCATGCGTGTGGGCTCGGGCACACTCTGGCCCGGAAGACAAGCTGCCCGCCCCCTGTCTCTCCGAGAGAAAAAGTGCTGCAGCCAACTAATGGGTGGTTCCCCTGAAAGGGAAAAATCCCCCAAACTGGCCACTAGAAGTCATTGTTACAATGTCAGAAAGACGGAGGGAAAAAAAATGCAGCTACTGAATTTCTGCCTTGAAAGGAAATCCTGTCCTTCCAACAATTTCCCGTTGGTTGGACAGAGCTCAGTGGGCAATTTCCAGGCCGGATCGTGGCCTGGGGAGCTGTCCGGTCAGCTTCATGACCTCCCTCTCCCCTGACCCGGGCAAGGCCAGGGTCATGAGGAAGCCTGGCTGGCACTGCCAACTGCTGCCAAGGCCTCTCTCGGGGCCTCTGACAATGCCTGTGGCAAAATGCCAAAGGATAGCATCCAACGTTCTGTCCTTCTGGGCAGCCTCCCGGGGATAAGTGGCCCAAAGCCTCCATGCTCGGCCATTATTCATGCGACACACGTTAATTGAGCAGCTACTATGTGCCAGGCCCTGTGCCGGGCGCTGGCGTATAAAGAAGCCTGCAGGGAGGATGTGGTTCTGCCTCCATGGGGAGGACCCCGTCCCTTCCTGGAGGCGGGGCCTCCCCTCCCACGGGGTCCTGGCCAGATTGGAAATCCGGTATCTGTCGCTGTGTAACAAGCCACCCAGTTACGGGGAGTGAGAGGGGCTCGTGGGAGCGGTAACAAGAGCACTCTGGGACAGGAGGCAGGGCAGTCCCTCCGCGGTCCCTCCCCTCGGACCCCTCACCTTGTCCTGCTGGGCCAGGTCCTGGTCCATGTAGAACTCCCCGGGAGGGGCCGCCCCGGCCATGCCCTCGGCCACCGATTGCTCCAGCAGCTCCGCGGCGCTGGCCCACACTAACCAAGGTGAACAGAGAGCACAGGGGAGGGTGTGAGCGTCCCGAAGGCCTCGGAGAATGTCTGCAGATTAACCCCCACATCCATTTCCTGCTGAGATTACAGCTCATTTAATTAAAGAAACGACAGAGAAAGGCGGGGGTGGGGGTGGGGAATCAGTGATGAGAGAGAATCATGGATCGGCTGCCTCCTGCAATGATTCCACACTGGAAATCGAGCCTGCAACCCGGGCGTGTGCCCTGACCAGGAATTGAACCGTGACCTCCTGGTTCATAGGTCGATGCTCAACCACCGAGCCACGCCAGCCAGGCGGTAATAAACTATTTAAAAACCTCCTAAGGCAAGGTATTTCTGCACATCTGAGTCAAGGTGTATACATTTAGATCCTGCCTCCCACTCATACACACACACACACACTCACCACAGAGGTACTGACGTGTGCATGTGGGCAGTGCACACAGGCGGGAGGGCTGTACACAGAAAGTGCACAGGGGAAATCGGGAGACGGCTGACCTCTAACTGTTTTCTTAAAATTTTTTCACAACTGACTGTGCTTTGCTGTGGAATCATATAATAGAAAGTAAACGAAAAGCAAGACCCATCCTCACGGCTGCAAGCCCACCGGGAGCCGCCAGGGGGCGTGCCCGCCCGCACCTTGCTTGATGACCGGAGCCTGGGGGGCGCCCTCCACCACGAAGGAGAACATCTTCCCGCAGGCGCTCATGGGCCGCCTGTGGCAGGCCGGCGGGGCCGTGGTCGGCCTGGGGAAGGCCTGGGACCAGTTCTTGTGCGCTGGCGCTGGCTGGACGCCCGGCTGGAAGGGCATCTGTGGCGGCAAAGGCGAGTGGGCCGGCTGCTCTGCGAACCCAGGCGGCTGTGCTCTTGGCCAGCGGACCGGGCCCCCCATCCACGGGAAGGAGACCTGCAGGGGTAGGCAGGAGGGTCAGGATGAGGGGGGCTGTCCCCACCTCTTGTCCCGGCCGCATCCCAGCAGCCCGAGGTCTCGGCTTGTGAGTCACTTCCCCCAGGAAGCCCTCCCTGACTCTCCCCACTGCGTGTCACACTGCACACGGCTGTGCCGCTACTGATGGGCGTGGCCTTCCTGCCGGGCACCTTCCCAAGGGGTCCCCACGGGACCCCACTGAATGCACCTGATCTCTGTGCTGAGCCTGAAGCTCGTCCCCCAGCTGCGAGGTTTGCCTGTGCGCTGCCAGCTGGCGGGACGGCACCTCTGAGAGGGTCAGGGCTCCGGGTCTGTCCGCTCACCCTGCAGCCTCAGCATCTGGGAAACGCCTGCCGCCCACAGGGCTGGGGGGATGGTGAGCAGAGCGCTGAGACCCAGCCGGCTGGCTGGGACCCCAGCCCTGCTTTCCCTCCATCGGCACTGTGTGTCTCCGGCACCCCTGATCCATCCACCCCTGGAAGCCGAGAGCTCTGGGGTGGCAGGGACCCCGACTGTCTCTTAACCTTTGAGCCTCAACACCCACCACTTCTGGGCAGAGGCTCCGTAGAGATCTCGCCTGGAAACCTCTTTGTTGAACCGGGGGTGGGGGTGGGGGTGGGGGTGGGGGCATGTTTGTAGCTACGCAGAGCAGAGAGCACAGCGTCCATCTAACCGGGGCGGGGGGGGGTGGGGGTGGGAGCCAGTGCCAGGCAGAGGAGCTGACTCTGGGCTCCGTCTCGGCTTAGTGCTCAGCGGTGTTTGCTTCCCGCGCCTCAAGGCTAAGGGGGCCAGCAGTGCGTGCCATGGTGTGTCCTCATCCATCGCACTCCCCTCTCTGCTCCTCACAGCAGCCCTCAGGGGAGCGCTCTTGTCACCCCGTGTTTCCCGTGAGGCGTGGAGAGGGAATCTCTTCATGTCAGCGTCTCGGCCTCCGCCCCTGTGCTCCCTTCCCTCCTGCACTCTCAGACGCTGCCCCTGCCTTCTCTGTCCTCCCCGTCCCTCCCCAGCCTCCTCGGGGGCTGACTTGCTATAACCAAACCATTCTCCCCTTGGTTTGATGAAGACGTATTGAACGAATGGGCCGAAAGTGAGGAGGGGTAAATGCCGACGTGGCTGCTGAGAAACAAACCTAAAAAATAATAAAACTCCAGGAGTTGTGTGTTGGCCACTGGGAACCTCTTGCCTGTAATTCCATCCAATGCCCAGAAGAGGGCGCGAGGACCCGCTCCTCCTGGGACCCGCGGGGCTGGGCCTGAACTTCATCCACTCCTGTCCCGGCTGCCAATTGTGTGCGCAGCTTGGCATCAGCCACGGCTCAGGACCGGCTCCACCTGAGCCTCGCCCTCCGCCCACCCCCTCCTGCCCCCCAACACGCACCTGAGCCCCGGGACTCACCGGGGGAGGCTGGTTCTCGATGACGAGTTCGTAGATCAGCTCTCCGGACCCGAACCTCAGGAGGTCCCCGGGCAGCAGCTTCACGGCCACGTTCTGGATGTGGCAGTCGTTGACGAAGGTGCCGCTGCGGGAATTGAAGTCCTGGAGGACGAAGCTGCCCTCGGCCTCATCGTATTCGATGAGCGCGTGGTGGTTGTCGATGTCCTTAGACTGAAAAGCAGGGCAGTCAGGGCCGGGAGGACAGGAGATGGGGCTAGCAAGTGCCCCCGGGTGCCTGCCTGGCTGGTCACAACAATACTCATTCTTAAATGCAGACGCTGAGGGTCAGAGAGGTTCAGTGACCTGCCCAAGGTCACACAGCGCGTGCAGGGGAAGCTGGGATACGTGCTCTCTCCACTCCAGACCCAGGCAGGTGCCCGCGCTTGTTGGGTGGGAGTCAGGCAGCACAGAGGCAAAGGGAACCTGGGGGGGGGGGAGGGGTCTGAATGGACAGGCACACGTGTGGCCAGAGAACCGCCACTTCCTAGTTCCCGGCTCCACACAGGTGTGCTCTGTTCGCTGCAAATGGCGGGACTGGAAGCAGAACCGGCCCTCACACAAACCAGAGGGTCAGTCGGCTAGTGACAACTGTTCATTTTCTTGCAAAGAAAGTGCCAAGTTCATGGAATGGGGTAAGTTAAGGTCAAGGGAGGTTTTGTCAGAACTGTCTGTCAGTTCGTTCTGTTCATTTTTAGAATAACGTTTTTCCTAATATTGCAGGAAACGAGAACCAGAGCAATGCACAGACGACATTAGAATCATGCCACATGCGGCTCTTTGGCCCCTTGAGTGTGGCTCTTCCACAAAATACCACAGCCTGGGCGAGTCTATTTTGAAGAAGTGGCGTTAGAAGAAGTTTAAGTTTAAAAATTTTGGCTCTCAAAAGAAATTTCAATCATCGTCCTGCTGATGTTTGGCTCTGTGGACGAATGAGTTTGCTGACCACTGGTTTAGGGCCCCATCCCCAGGAGGCAGGAACTGACAACCTCGTTCCCAGCCTTCCAGTCTTTAAAAAAAGTTGCTTACAATCTTTTTAAGACGTTCCAACAAAATTGACATCATGCCAAACAGAAAAGTTTAATAACTACCTTTTAAAAAAAACTTGATGTACAATAAATTTTCCCCACGTGATCAATTATTTCTATTGCTGCTTAAAAGCTTGTCAGAATTTATCTAATGATGGGTCCTGATGTGATGGCGTTTCCCCAGGAGAAAAAGACCCCAGACAGCGGCCGTTCAACCAAAGTATAATATGTTAATGATTTGCTAAGGCCACTCAACAGCTCACTATGACGGGCACTGACCACCAGGGGGCAGACAGTCGGCCAGTTGCTATGATGTGTACTGACCACAGGGGGACAGATGCTCCGACTGGTAAGTTAGCTTGCTGCTGGGGTCCGGCCAATCAGGACTGGGAGAGAAGGGCTGGACACCCCCCGGAGCCCTCCCATGGTACCTCCCAGGCCTCAATCACCCACCAGTGGGGTCCCTCGGCCTGTGCCCTCTCGCAATCCGGGACCCATCGGGATATCAGAGAGCCGGTTTGGGCCGGATCCCTGCAGGCCAGCCCTAGGGACCCCACCGGTGCATGAATCCGTGCATTGGACCTCTAGTATACTGATAAAGGGACAAGAAGACACAACAATCCTTAATGTGTATGTACCTACGCAGAAAATTCCAAAGAATCAACACCATAAATCCTGGAATTAATAAGCAGTTTAGCAAGGTTGCAGGATACAGGTTAATATTTAAAAGTCACTTGCTTTCCTATATACCAGCAATGAACAACTGGAATTTGAAACACAACACCATTGCCCTGGCCAGCATGCTCAGTGGTTAGAGCATCAGGCTGTGCACTGAAGGGTCACAGGTTCGATTCCTGGATAAGGACACATGCCTGTGTTACAGGTTCAATCCCCAGCCCTGGTCAGGGCATGTGCAGGAAGCAACCAATTGATGTGTCTTTCTCACACTGATATTCTCCCCTCAAGGTTGACCTTTCCCTCCCACCCTTTAACTCTCTAAAAATTAATGGAAAAAATATAGTCAGGTGAGGATTAATAAAAAACACACAACACCATTTACATTATTACCAAAACCATGAAGTACTTTAGGTATAAATCCAACAAAAATATGTACAAGTTCTATTTGAAGAAAACTACAAAATGTTGATGAAAGAAATCAAGGATCTAAATAAACGAAGAGATAGTCCATGTTTCATTTTCAATTCCTTAGTGATATCTGATATTTAGCATTTTCTCATGCTCATTTGCATATATAAATTGCCACCTGCATATCTGCTTTGGGGAGATGTCACCCATTTTTAAATTGGTTTTTTTTTTATTGTCCAGTTTTAAGACTCATTTATTTTGGACACACATTTATAGCATCTTTATTCATAACTGCCCCAAACTGGAAGCAACCGAGATTTCCTTTAATGACTCGGGTACCCATTGGGGTACCTCCACACAATGGGACATAGTCAGCGCTAGAAAGAACTGTGCTATCAAGCCCACCAACACCTGCAGGAATCGTAAACGCACACTGATTAGTGCAAGATAGCAATCTGCGAAGGCTACAGACTGTCTGGTTTTAACTCCGTGAAGCGTAAAACCAGAGAGACAGTGGGAAGATCGTGGTTGCCGGGGGCTCAGGTGGAGATGGCAGGGGTGGGGTGGGGTGAACAGGTGAAACGCAGGATTTCAGGGCAGTGAGAGGACTCCGGTGCTGAAATGCAGGATACATGCCTTATACATGTGTCCGAGCCCGCAGGATGTGCACCACCAAGGTGAGCCCCCGTGCGAACTGTGGCTTTAGTTAATGATAATGCCGCCGTGCTGGTTGTAACAGATGGACCACACCCACGCAAGATGCTGGTAACGGGGAAGCCCGGGGATACATGGGAACTGTCTGTGCTGACTGCTAATTTCCTGTAAGCCTGAAGCAGTTCTAAAAAACACTTTGAAGCACTTTAGGACTCGTTAGTGTTTTGGGAAGTGCCACCCCGTCTTCTTTGTCGCCTTTCCCACCCTTTGTGTGCTGTGAGCCTGTGATGACCCAGCGCAGACAAGTTCTCTGCGTTGTTTTGCGTTTTCTCCTCCCAGGCCTCATTGCTTTCAGTTCCCTAAAAGCTGCCAGGCCATTGTTAAGAAATCGATGCAGCAGGAATTCTGAATGCAATGGGGTGAGCTCTGCCAGTGCTAGGCCAAGAGGGGGCTCCCCCTTCCCCCACCTGTAATACTACCACTCCCCCGCTTACGTGGAGAATGGCTACAGGCCGCCATTGGACAGAGCCCTGCGGCAAGCGCAGGCTGAATGCATAAGCTCTCTCCGGCTGCCCCATGAGGTAAACTTTCCCTTTATCATCGTCATCATTACTACTGGCCAATGTACTGTGAGGGCTTCCTGTGAGCCGGGCTGCTGAAGCACTGTGTGCATCCTCTTATCTAACCTGTACAACAGCCCTATAGGGGGCTCTATCATTATCCCATCTTATAGGCGAAGAAGCGAGACTCAGAGGGTGACATGGGAGGATAACAGCATCACCTCCACACCAACACCAGAGACACCGCAAGGAAAGAAAGCTACACACCCATGTCCCCTATGAGCACTGACAGGAAAGCCTCACAAAATATTAGCAAGTGAACTCAACAGCATCGAAACACACACACACTCACACACATACACACACTCACTCTCACATACACACACATACTCTAATACACACACATTCTCATACACACACACATACACTCACACACTCTCACATACACACACATACACTCTAATACACACACATTCTCATACACACACACTCTCATACACACACACACTCACACACTCTCACACACACACACACACTCTCTCATACACACACATACACTCTAATACACACACACTCTCACACACACACACACTCTCTCATACACACACACTCTCACACACACACTCTCTCTCATACACACACATACACTAATACACACACACTCTCATACACACCCACACATACTCACACACTCTCTCACACACTCTCACACACTCTCACACACACTCTCATACACACACACTCACACACTCACACACTCTCACACACACACACACACTCTCTCATACACACACATACACTCTAATACACACACACACACACTCTCTCATACACACACACTCTCACACACACTCTCTCATACACACACATACACTAATACACACACACTCTCATACACACCCACACATACTCACACACACTCTCACACACACACTCACACACACACACTCTCATACACACACACACTCTCGTACACACATACACTCACACACACTCTCACACATATGATGGAATGTTATTTAGCCCAAAAAAGAAGGAAGTCTTACCACTTGCAAATGGATGCGCTTGAGGGCATTATAATAAGGAAAGTAAGTTGGGCAGCGAAAGACAAATACTGTATGATGTCACTGATATGTGGAATCTTAAAAACCCACACGCCTGAGCTCAGAGACACCGTGAACAGACTGGCAGCTGGCAGAGGTGGGGGGTGGCGGGGAGGGCAGTGGGTGAAACGGGTGAAGAGGACCAGGGGCACAGACTCCGGTTATAAAGTAAGTGGTCATGGGGATGCGATGCCAGCCTGAGACTGTAGTTACTAATACTGGATCGCATTTTTGAAAGCTGCTGAGAGAGCAAATCTTCCAAGTCCTCATCGCAAGAAAAAAGGTGTGACAGATGTTAACTAAACTTACTCTGGTGATCATTTTGCAATACATAAAAAAACATATCAAATCGTTATTTTGGAAACCTGAGGCTAATATAATGTTACAGGTCCATTATACCTCAATAGAAATAAATGAAAGTAAAAAGGATTGCGCAGCACAGGCACGTGGCCTTCAGTCCCGGCATGCAATCCGATGGCCCAGCACACGGAAACTTCCAGAGCTCAGGGAAGGCAGCTTTGCAGCCCCTTTATGCACTGGAGGCGGAGGGTGGCGTCGGGGAGCTGACAGGGAGGGTGGAAAGGGAAGGGGGATCTGAGGACAGGCAGGCCCGTCGAGGTTCAGTGCTCTCTCGGGAGCCCTACTCCTGGCGGGTCCTGGGGATGCTTGCCTGGACGCCCGGAACGAGGGCCAGGGTGGCTGAGAACTTCCCCTGAGCCTGACCGCCCACCATGACCCCGTCT